AGCTTTTTCCAAAGTCAAGTTTTGACCCCTGCACTTTTTACCGTCCCAAAACAATATTATGCTGTATTAAATAGACACTGGTTGAGCACTAGGATCAAGCGGAAAAAAACAGTTTGTGTTGAAGCCCGTTTCCCATTAGAACATACTGTAAAGATACCCCCCAGTCCTCATGCCGGTTGTGTCCCCCCATTTCTAAAGTCAAAACTACATCCATGGTGTCTATTAGGGCTGCAACAAACGATTATTTGGATAATCGATGAATCGGGTGGGGTCTCGACACAATTAATCGATTAATCGGATTACATAGGGACATTTTTAAAAACTGCTAGGGAAACGTTATTTCTCTCCTTCCTTCACTTTATTAAACACAACATTATTAGAAAACAGTTCAATAGCAGAAAAACAACATGCCATCACCTAAATTGTCTTATAAGGTGTATAGACAGAGACCCCTAAGCTACACCTATCTGTGACCTAAAATGCTTGGTCCAAGTTAAACAGCTTAAAGAGCAAGTCAACCCCTACAAGAGTCTAACTCCACTCCCACTTCATGTTTGAAAAATGCAACACATGCTGTTGCCTGGCAGACCGAGAGGGCGGAGCCGCTAACAAATACACACACACTCAGGCTCACGACAGCATTGTGACATCATAATGTACCAGTTTACATCATAGCATACTTCTTAGCCAATAGCGGTGGCAGATTTAAATTAAAATACAGTGCAGAGTTTTTACCTGACAACGGCACAACACTTCCAGTTTTAGGCAGAATATTTAAATTTTAACTAAGATGCACTGAAGTGCCAAATTATTGACGACACGTGTCTGCAGCACGATTAGACACTCGTTTATTTAGTTTATCAGCAAAAAAAAAGTTTATTTGGGGGTGACTTGCTCTTTAAGGGCAATTCTCATCTGTTTTGTTTGATCTCATCTGTAGACATTTATTATAATTGGGGATGTCAAACAACTAATTTTTAAACGTAATTAAACATAGGCTGTGAATCAAAATTAATCACTATTTCCAAAAATGACTGAAAAAATACCAAATAAAACAAAAATAAATGAATGCCATCCTCCTTGTGATGATGCTCTGGGCAACTGCCATAAAGTCACATCAAGAAATGCTGCTGATGATTCCAAATAGACTTGCATTAGGCCACATGCAGCAACAGTTAGGACTCCTCCCTCCCTTTTAAAAGCGTTTTCGCTTGTGAGGACACTGTGGTTGTAAAGCCACATGTTAGTAGTCTGGCCCCGGTGTGATCAACCAGTTTCTGCGGGAATGTGACGGCGGAACCGGTTCGCAGCAGCGCCCCCCCCCTCTATCTATTAGCGTCGCGCTTACGATTTTATAGACTTTTTTTAACGAGCTTAGGGCATGTCTAGCCTGTGTAATAATCCGGGGCTTGGGTGAATCACTTTTAAAAAGTTTTTAACTTGCCCGGACACCGAGCTCTCTCCTTCCTCGCTGATGATTCTGACATGCTTGCGTTAGATGCTGCATCATCACCGTAGCACTCCCGTGCCATGCTAAGTCTGACCTAAACGTTGCAGGTAACGAATGTCTTCGCCTGATTTAACTGAAAATGCTCCCAAATTTTAGAAGTTTTTACTTTTTTTGGGTCTCGCTGCTTCTGCTTGTTCCTCTTCCAAACACGTGCCGGCTCTCCGGTCTGCGCGCAACGGCGGGCGGGAGGGGAGGGGGCTTTTGGAAGAGTTGTGCAACACAACGAATCGATGACGCAATTTGTTGCCAACTCTTTTAGTAATCGATTTACATCGAATTTATCGATTCGTTGTTGCAGCCGTAGTGTCTATCCATGTTCACATGACTGGTCATTCTAGTAGAAGGTCAAGTTTTGAACTAATGCCTTAAAATATCTTTCCGAAGTTTTCCCCTTTCAGAAATTATGTATGATTTGTCAGAAATCCATAAATGTGATTATCTTATCATGTACTGTGAAATAATGTAAGCAATACGACTTTTTTGGGGGGGTCTAAGTATGCCCCCTGCTCCGCAGAGCTCCGTGCAATAGGAAACTGAGCGCCGCCCAGAATTAACCAATAGCGTTAAACTACCGCTTACTTGCTTCAAATATGAGGAATACCTCGGTTGATGCAGAATTGATTAACTTTTCACGGACAAGTAAGCCTTTAAAATATAAATATATGAGAACACAACATGACATGAGAATACAAACAACATGTTTTAGCTCTGTTTGTCAGCTACAGAAGGACATACATAAACCAGAATCATGAAGTCTTGGGTATCTTCCCTAGATCTGCGTCTACCAGAACCAGAAACCCATTTTTACAAAAATCTCTACAACATATGTAAAGCTATAGAAGAAGGTTGTTAAAGTGACAATGTGCATTTTACATGGCAAAAAGGGGCAGTACATACCTAAATCATTATAAGCAATCAGTGTTTTTGTATTTGAGTAAAACCTTACAAATGGAAAGCCATTAGAGTAAAAAATGGGAGTGCAACCCCCAGCTAAATAGCAAGCACATCAGACTCCCTTTCATCACTGGCAACGAGCAAAGAGGTAAATGTGTAAAACAACGTTTATGAATGGCGAAAGTTTTGCAACTGTTTGTTACAATTCAGTAAATGCATTTTGTCCTCACGGCCTCCCGTAGAAGGAAGCGTGGCGTCTAAGATGGCGTTGCCCAGACACTTAGACCCGCTCCCATGTATTTAAAACCCGAATTTTTTTGGTTGTATGTTACAAAGCTGCCAATATTTTTCAACAACTGGGCATCATTTATTTCATTTTCAATAACATTTTGGTAGATATTTCCATGATTAAAGGTAAAAACTACACACGGTACGAGGCTTGAATTAATTTGCTTTGATTTGCAATAACAGCTTTAATAGCGGACCCTACATTAGGCAAAATCACAGACCAATTCAGAAAACACAGACTCAGTCAAATTACAGAAGAATTTGCAGACAGCAGTGAAAAATGTAGTCTTGTATCATTCCATCATGATGTAGATTATCGATTAAAGGTGGCGCAGAAGTCCTCTGCTTGTGTCCCTCCAACACTGAGGAAGTGGTAGATGAGCGGGGAGACAAGATGAGGGGGTGGGAGATGTGATGGGACTGCCAAGCTTTATAAATGGATAAAAGAACCCCTATACACACGAGCAGAGGCTGTCCCGGGAATGAAAGCAGCACAGAGGTCAGAAGTGGATGAGAGAAAGCTCCTCGTCAGCTGCAGTGGTCTGTTAATCACCTGCAGCATCTTGATGGTGGTGACTCTCCATCTTTTACTGAGCCTTTCAAAGGCACAAAAAAACTCTCTCCTTTGTGCTTTCTTTTTTTTCTTTAGAAGTAGCTTTAGTCGTACTCCGGCTTATGGCTGCGGCTGTCTTTTGAATAATTCTATTTGTTTCGCTTTGAGGATTGTTTCTGTTTTCCTTCCTGTGGGTAATGCTCAAATGTCTGCCCAGGTTTGCTGTCTGAGACTGTTAGAAAGACATGTTTACATCCCAGACTGGGCCTGTGAGGAGTTTTTATGATAGGCTTTTTTGTTTTTGCAGCATGTCTGTCAGAATGTTTTGTTTGGCTTGCTACACCAGAATAAATACAATTAATATTCTTCATTAATCACAATTTATTTGTATTGCTGCTTTAAAATAATTCCATTTTGCAGTGCATCACACTAACAGATTTCTAAATTTGAATAAGAATATATTTCTTTTTAAGTTTGGTGAGAACATTTACCTTTTCATGCAGAAGGGTCTCAGTGGACAGCTATTCAAAAGCTGCTAGTTTGAGTTTAACATGCAGGCTGAACGTGAAATGAAAATAGCCTTCTACCCTATTTCCTGCATTAGCCGCTGATAGAAAATGGTGAAACGCTCAGATTAGAAAAGCCGCTCAGATTACTCGCCCATCTTAGCTCACGACAGGGACCGGAGAGCAGAGAGCATCTCGGCTAATAGAAGCCAACCATTAGCATTAGCAACTCCACCGCACGGCAAAACTCCTCCAGGCTTGGGTTATTTGTGGAGATGAAACATCAGTGTTGCAGAGCAAACAGAGTCAGTGGTAGAGTTGTGTTGCTGTTAGCCAACCAGAAGCAAAATGTCTGAATATCAGGAAATATCCCCCACTTTCCACCAGACACAAAACGGCCATGAAACATATTTCACAGCAAATTGCCACCGTTATAATGGATGAGTTCCTTTCCACCAGCTGCAAAGTGTAACGTTGTGTTCAACACATTCTAGAATGCGCCAATTATGTTTCCAGTCTATTTTTTATGCACTACGCCTCCAAAACACGTCAAACACCACAGTTCATACTGGGCAAACCAGGAAGTCAAACATGAAAGCAATGTAAAAAAAAAAATCTGGAAGCTTTCAAAATAAAACTCATGTCCAGTTAAAACGTATGTCATTTCCTGTGAAACCTCCCTAGCTGAGGGAAATGGAACAGATAATAAACCACAGACCTTTACAGAAACACGCCACCATCTTTCTCCTTGCTTTTTCTTGTGTGGTCTTCTGAAGTCACCCGTGGTGTTGAAATCATCCTGTGATGTTGTGACTTCATGGGACCAGCGCTGTGGAACGCTTTCCTGTTTTGCGTCTGCAACTCTGCCGGTTGGAAGGGAGCTCACGGGTGAAAATGCCTCTATTACGTAACACGCTGCTTTCATGTCCGGTGGAAAGGAGCGGTACGAATCCAAATCCTGCCATTTTCAGTTCACATCTCCTCTGGCTCATTTCTAGCTCCTGAAACAGGCGCATGAGAGTTTTTCCCCCCACATAAACTGATTCACAAGACATTCATTTTATACTAGAAACCACTGCAGATGCGTAGAAAAAAATGAGTGAGCGTGATCTTTAAGAAAAAAAAAACAATCCAGTCTGGTTAATTCCACACTCATTTATATTATTGGTATTGATGCTGATTGATAATAAGGTACATTTAACAAACTTTAGGTATTGAACTTCCCTTTTTCCTTCATTTCTTTGAACAGAAAGATCCACCTATGATGCATCCGGCTCTTCACAGTTACAGAGCATCTCCCCAGTCACCGGTGCTCCTACCCACCCACTGGACGAGCTGTCGGTGGCAGAGGAGGTGCCTTTCCAGGTGGTCCATTCAGACGGGGACTCAGAGTCTGGGGGAGAAGGTTTGTCAGGACGGCCCGCCTTTTCCTCCGTCCTAACAGTGATGGCGGGAACTGTTAAACATCCTGTGAGCCTTGATCAAAGCAGAACCTTGCCGTCTATCAGCAAGGATGAGACGTACACCACCCAATGGCCTTCACATGGCTCCAGCCGAGGCTCAGATGAATCCTCTTCATTGTTGTCTGTGGGAGATGGCTTCAGAACGAGCTCAGGTCTGAAATTCAGCATATCTCAGAAATACACCACACGCCTTGGGGTTGTTGGGTCAGATGTCTCCAGGCCATCCCATGATTCATTTATGGATGGATGGAAGAATCTCTCATCATTTCCATTTTTATCCCAGACATCAGTGTCACCACCAGCTCCATCCTCATCCTCTGTGCCATCACTCCTGTTCTCTTTTCTGTCTTTGTCCACTGAGCGGAGGAACAAAGCTGCTCCATCCTGGGGTCAGGAGGCTGTGTCCAGTCTTTCTCCTCAGACCGAGACAGATACATTACCGTCTGCAGAGCCTCGGGGTTGGACAGACAGTCTAACAACTGCAGAACCCACCTCACATACAGCGGTTGACCCACATCCTGTTACACCAGGAACACAAACTGCCACAAGCAAACCAGCATACTTTCAAAGTGAAGCCAGCACGAAAAAGAGCAGTGAAAGGACAAAACAATCTCCGTATTCGTCAGTGGGTAAAATCCCTGAAAAATACACAAAGACTACAAACAAAAATACTGTCTCTGAACCAAAAAACAGCACTTTTGTTTCACATCCTACCCCAAACAATAGTGTAAGTCTCTCATATGAACCCTCTCACATTCAGAAAAAGAACTTGAACTCTGTATCCAGCGATAATCTTGGAAGCAGCTCTTCATTTACGTCCAATCAAGAGCGTCAAGCTGTTGGAAGGCAGCAGGGAGCTTCTCAGAATCCCCCATCAGCACCGCTGTCTACCCATGCTGAAGGTGATTCACTTTCTAGTCATGTCACACAGCAGATGCTACACAGAACAGCGCATATTGAAAAGGACCAGACATCAGTGGGTAGTAACATTTCAGCTCACAAAAGAATTACAGTCATGTCATGGCTCTTTTTACATTTTACACATCCCGCAGCAACCCCAACAATGACCCTCACACCCATCAGTGTGTTTTTTACTATTCCCTCAAAATCTTTGCCTCCTTCTCGAACTGCAATCACCAAACTAACATGTACCCACTGTGGCACAGAGTCCTCAGAGTATGCATCTAATCCTGGTGATTTAGGGATGGCAGAGAGTCACAGCAGTCCCCGACTTCCCACCATCAATATAAATCAGGGAGAGATAACAGGAGCAGAGCTCAGACCTGCTTCCACACCGGCTCGCTCGGATAATTCGCTTACACAGCTGAGTTCCGAGTCCAGTTCCATCCACAGCCCGAGCTCCGGAGCGGAGGCAGCTTTGTCAGACCTGCCTGAAGGTGTTCAGGAATTTGTGACACAGACTGTAACCTTCAAGGATGTCACTCGTAAAAGTTGTGCAGCGCTGAAAATGATAATTACCCCAAACAGAAGGACAAAATTTCCTTCAGATTCATCCGAATCAGCAAAGTACGTGACTGAACATCAAACTGATTCATGGATCCCTCAAACCATGCATCAGCCTCTCAGTAAAAACTCAGATCACGATGGAAGAGAGGATTCAACAGGGATAAATGCCAACATGAAGGTTAGTTATACAGCACAATTATCATCTGTAACACCTCTTCAGACGACATCCGTGTCTGGCTTTCTCCACAAATTTCACACACTTGCTTTAACGCCCAGAAAATCCAGAGCCAAAACCTCTGCTCCTGGAAAATCACAGGGAACCGCGGAGTTCCAAATGAGATCAAGAAACCATGTGATGTCAAACATGCCACATGGAAACAAGGCTTCAGAGCATTTTCACAGAACTGCTAGGAGTTCCATTTCTCCTCTTTTCAATGGAAACAAAAAGCCTTCTGCATTTAACAAGACAGGCGATCCATCAGAGCAGCTCACAGCACACCTCCCAGCTTTTAGGACATCAGAAGACCCCTTTGTGCTTAAAAAAGGCTTGGAAGCTAAGCGATTATTGCCCACATTCCCCTTTTCTACATTAGAACCTGTTAGACAACTTCATAGAAAGGGCTATACCACTTCTCCTTTTATTATTTCAGAAAGCATCTTGACACAGAGAACAAACTTCCCTGTTTTAGGATTGACGATCACTGAAAGAAGTGATAAATCAAGTTGGTTTCCTGACAGGCAAACAGCCATTACCTCTGCTGCTTCCTCTGCAGTAACTAGCCCCTTCACTGATGGACAGAGCAGCGTAGAGACATCCAGTTCTATTTTCAGCTTTGGCACAAAACTAATGGCCCTGTATACAAGGTGGAAAGCCACCAAGCCCGTGGCTTTTCAAAGCACTGCTTTTAAATCAGAAAATGCATCTAGTGGCTTTGACAGGGCACAATCTAATTTACCAGCAGATGGCTCATCATATGAGCATCCAAAACAGGAGGAGGGACAAGAGTATAATGTACAAATATCAAATTCAAATGATTCAACAGCTGTCAGCAGTGATCTGACTCATCCAGCTGTTGGAGACCATCCATATTTTACCTATGTCAGGACTCGGCGTACAGATTCGCCTCCTGCTTATCTCAGATCTGCTGTTGCTGTCAGTGTACTGCCAGACGTCACTGTGAGCACTGCTGAGAAATCATCCTGGGGTTCAGATGTTTCTTTGCCCCGTGATTACACATCTACTGATTCTAAAACAGCATCTCAACTGAATTTATTTGCTTTAGTGAAAAAGGGTGAACACAGACCTCCTCTGGTTGATCTCCAGTCTGCTGTGACATTTCCAGATTTTAACACAGCACAGATGGGACCAAATTCATCCCCTTTCATATTTCACCCTTCGTCACCATCCTTTTCATCATTTCCATCCTCCCATTCATCCTCCTCAAGCATTACACCCTCAACTTCAATGTCCCAGTCAGCTGATGTGTTGTCAACAAGACCAACTATTGATGCAGCATCTGCTGTTTCTGGGAAACCCATGGTTTCCTTCTCATCACCAACTTTGACTTTAGGTTCTGATCACCCACAGGCAGTGACTCAGACGTTTGTTCTTACAGAGCCAGACGTGGACGGGTTAACCTCTGGAACATCCAGACCGGTTGTGCTCACTTTGCCCAAAGAGAAAGAGGCCAGTCTAGCCCCCTCTCACTCAGACAGGATCATCCTTTCTGCTGAGCCCATTGAGGGGACCTCTCAGGTATCACTGCTGACCCCCCAGATGGACACCACAAAGGCCTCTGCAAAAAGTACCACCACAAATGTAGCTTCAACCCCAGGACACCCCACCACCACTACACCTTACTTAAAGGTGACGAGGCAGTCAGCAACCACACCACAGCCCATGCCTGTGACCAGAAGAACCACAACTACCACCACCGTCAGGACTTACACCAGCAGAAGAACGATCACATCGCCCATCCAAAGAACAAGCCCCCCGAGGGGGGTCACCTCCATCTTCATCTCCCCTTTCACCACAACCACCGAAGCGCCACCGCCGCAGTGCAACATCACTGAGAGACTGTGGCTGAAAACTGGTAAGCAGTGCCTTGAAACATCCATCAAGAAAAAAAGGATTTTGTCTGAAACTGACTGGTTTTGCCTCTTTCAGTTGTGTCAATCTACGTGAGGAGGAACCGACTGGATAGCATTCAGAGGCAGAACTTACGAAGGGGACTAAGTCAAGGCCTCAGGAAAGCTCTGAATGACACATCGGCCCAAGCACAGGTCCAATAACTTATGAAATGATGTTTAAATAAATGTGTGCATGTTTTCATGAGTTAGCTCCTTAAAACATTTATCCACAGAGCTTATGAGTTGCAAGGTGTTGCAGTAGAAAGCATGAAATTGATGCCACACACCCACTGTTGTTTTAGTTTTTGGTGCCAGCTTGGAGAAGAGCTTTCGTTACTTAGTGCCTGGGCGCTGTCACGTCTGCAAACAGGTCCAAGCAATCACAAGAATATGTTAGCAAAGGTAGTTTATTAGGGTCAGTAATCCGATCCATATATATATACATACACACATAATATTGTGTCAAGTTTGATGGAGAGGATGTGAAGCAGCCTAAGGAGGAAGCAGGACATGTGCGCAGACTGAAGCAGACCAGACAGCTTTGTGCGGGATTTGGCTCGTGATTGAGCAGAAAGAAAGCGACTCATTGATCAGTTAGTAGTAAGGACCAGTAAACAGATAAAACACATGAATTAAAGGTGTGTTTTTTTTCAGTGAGTTTTAAGAAGTGCTCTTCTTTTATCATTTGTGAGTGTAGGAATCATTATGCAAGGACTCTGATCTAGGCTGTTTGAGTGGAAATGAGGACCAATATAGAAATGAGGTTGACTGACTTTGTCCCTGAAGGCAGACTGAGGTGTCAAATATTTGAGTGTGTACCAACATAGAAGACGAAGACTGTAGCTCATCTTTGGATAGATTTAGATTGCACGAGACAAAGGGTCGATATGAATCCATCAATATTACAGGAGCAGAATCAAGTCTGGTTTAACAAAACACAGATCTGAGGGAAACCACAAACAGTGTTTCTGCTACAAGCACATGCAGGGCAATCATGGTGTCCTTTGTGCTTTTGAATTAGTCATTTTTGGAACCAATCATGTTTTCTGCAGTGCCAAAATGCATCACATCTTCTCTCTTAATCCTCAGATGCTTCCACTCAATGTGGATCTGAATAAACAGCTGTCATAATCTAGTCAAAACCAAAGGGTTAAACTGTGATGTGTGTTGGATGGCCCAACACAGCACTGAGAACAAAATGCCTTTTGGGATAATAAATAACATGATTGCAGTGAGCCATTGTATCCATACGTTCCAGCACACACACACACACACACACACACACACACACACACACACACACACATATATATATATATATATATATATGCGTGTGTGTGTGTGTGTGTGTGGGTGTGCTTCTAGGGTCCAGTGGCCTTCCCACAAAGGTTTCATTGGGGTTGCCAGATGGGGCTGTTGAACTTTAGGGCAAACTACTGGAATCCCAAAATGAAAAACACCATTTGAAGTCACGGACAGAAAAGATGTTTGGACCTAGAAAACAGCGACTGGTGTTTAGCGCCCTCTTGTATACCAGTGCAGGGGAGGGGTGAGTGTTCCATGACTGTGTTTGCATTCAAAACCTAGCTTGTTCTGTAGATTCGCTTTGACAGCTTCTACAAAGGCATCCACAAAAACTGTTAACATTTATACTTTTTGAAAATGTTGAGCAGAAGCAAACACATATTCTTCTAATGAATTATTTACTTAATAACTATATTTACATATTAAAGAGAAACTTTGCCGTTTTGGTTTGTTTCTAGCACCCCCTAGTGTCCATTTAGCCTTCGGGATTGCAGGAGATGTTTAGGCTAAGAGTGAAATCTCTTGTCTGCCAGAAAATGAAAAGTGATTAAAGTTCTTAGTTTTGTAAAATTGTGTAATTTTAGGCAGGTTTCAGTTATTGTGTGCCTAGTCTAGTGAATCGTCTCTTCAGCTTGCATTTGTCAGTGTGCACACGCATCAAACAGTGAGGCGTGTGCACCATGCATGTGTCCTGTAAAGCTCAAGTTCCCCCTCGGTCTTTTTAAGATTTTCCTGCTTTGGTGCACCTCTCTCGCCCGTTCAAATGTTGCATGGGTGAGTTTCCCTGCATTCTCACTGAACAGGAATCAAGCTGCTGGCTGGGGAAATTGCCTTTGTGTATAATTGTAGGTTAAAACTGTTGGGGAGGAGAGACTTGTGCTGAGCCGGTGCTGAAAAGATGAGAATTGCCAAGAATGAAATCAACCATGAGGCTAAAACGATCTATAAGGATTTTCCCCTCTCTCGTTTGTGTAGGGGTGTGTGTGTGTCAACTATGATCTGAAGCCTTTTGAAAGTCAGATCTGGGATCTGTTTGGTTTGTGAGCTCCAGTGTGTCACAGTCTTAGAGACAGAGTTAATAAGCATGTTTGAAATGCTATCTCTTAATGACACCTTCACATGGGTAGAGCCTGAGAGGATGAAAGGATAATAAAGAGCCCTTTTCATAGAGCTCGTAACGAGGCTGAATGGTGTGGAGGTAGAGGAGTAACTTCCAGCTCCAGAGACAAGAGGCTCTCAGTGATTTGACCTCCCTCTCAGTGCAGGCTTTCATGGGTCTAGATAACCAACCTGAAGGGTTCCATTTCTCCTCCACAAACATCTAGATCTGTCAGCACAACATTCCCAATTTCCACGAGTTCAGTGAAAAGTCACTTTGGACATTTTTCTGTTTCATGATGGCATTTGTTTTACCTACAGTGTTATTTCTGTCCTGATCTCAAACCACAATCACAATTTGGTAGTTGTAGACCGTCCTCTTGTCAGCAGTCTAAGGGGTGTGGCAGTGGTGTCCGCTCTGTCGACATGCAGGGCAGTGCAAAAACCGTGAGACGGAAGAGTCGACGTTATTCTACCCAAACTGGCAATCCAGTCATTTAGATAGATTCTTATGTTTCTGTCGAATTGTTCATGATTTAATGTAAAGTTGACAGATAATCTCTGCATTGCTTCAGTCAGCCATCTCAGCCGATAACGTTTACAAATGCTAAATGAACTCCCCATCATGTTTACTAGCCTTTTAGGTACTGTTGCTGTCCAGGGCTTGGCACACATTTGACACATCATCATGACATCCCCCTCTGTTATGAGACAACGTGATCTTCATTCAAAAGTCCAGTGCTGCGGTAATATGCCGCTACGGCGTTTCCTTTGAAACAGGCTAAAGGTAGCTTTTCAGCTAAAAACCACTTCTGATTTAGCTTTAATTCTGTTAAATTTCCAACTTGCTTCAGAAACTTGTCATTGGCTACAATTAGAAAAAGTCAATTCGTCAGATTCAGATTGTAGAACTGTAGAATGGTTTGGGTGTTCAGTGCTTATTTCTCTGGACAATTGCAAAATCCTGCTAATATTTAACTTTAGAGTGTACTGGGAATGTGTTTAACTAGTATTGCATCAAATGACTGTAGGAGTTGTGCAGTGATGGAAGTGCAACACATGGCAGTACTTTTTACAAGGATGTTATACCTGGAGCTGCAGGTGTTTTTGCTTTTCCTTCTAACAGACAGATATTTACTGACTGACGCATCTCACACTGAAAATGACAGCAACTTCTTGCAGAGTAAAAGAGACACAAATTGATGGAGTTCACCTGCTTGCAGAACAGCTTGCAGCCAACTTTCAAAACCGCTGTGTGGACTGATTTATGCAGTCGTCAGAAAGAAGAAAAGAAAAGCCTCTCAAAGATGTGCTTAACAGAAATCGGGGCCCAGCACAACCTGCAGTGTAGCTCCAACCCTTTGTGCTGATGTAGCTTACAGGTTTTCAGATGTTTTGTGGGAGGAAACCCGCCACTATGAGAACATTTACTTAGCTTGTTTTAGCTAGCATGCCTGTTGACTGATCAGCTCACATGTCATTCTGCATCAGCCCAGTATGAAGATAAAATGTTGTTTTTAATATAAATGTTTGCGGATTTACAGGGATCCACTAACTCTATAGTACCATTACATGCATCAGCTGTACTAATGACATTTAGTGTAGAATAAATATTGTAGAAGCCTGACAACCTTGAAATCAAGATCATTTGGAGTTTTGCAAAATCAGTGTGTTATTTACTTGGTTTTCTAGTGGCCATGGTTGAAACAAACGATGCTTCTAAATACAGACATGACTGTTAGACTGGAATAGAGTAGACTATTAATCCCACAGTGGGGAAATTCACTTTCTACAGCAGCACAGACACTTTGATAAAAAGAAGAAAATAACCAGAATACAGGTAAACACACTGTTTTTGTAACCTTCAACCACTAAAACCAACGGGTTTTCAGGGACACAGACATGCTAATGTACATCTGGTATTGCACAAGAATTAAACACATACTGAAAATTGCATTAATGTTATTGTGTACCAGGATAATGCCAGTTCCAGTTAAACTGAGGAGTTATACACTCTTAGTGCAGAGGGGACAAAGCTGGTATATGGTTTAAAGATGGTAATCAAGTTATTTCACATAACAAGTCAGGCTTTATTTTTATTTTTGGTTATTCAACTTTGTAAATAAGTTGGACTTCCACGTTTCAATTTAGTAGATTTTAGTTGATGTTTTCTACCAATGTTTTAGGTATTCAGTTTTGGTCTCAAACAAAAGCAGAAATAATAACTATACACAAAATAAATGTGAAAAACAGGTTAGATATTTCATTAATTTCATCATTTACACAGCACTTTCATGCTACCGGTCAAGGTAGTCCAAAGTGCTGAGGGCAACACAGCAACAACAACAAAAAAGAGCAAGGAACAAAGTGAAAATGGCTACACACAGAATAAAAGCTGAATTAAAAGCACCCTAAAAGAAATATATACATAAGATACTAAAAACAGTAGGCCACCAACAGACAGAATGCGAGAAGAAGTGCAAAAAGTCTAGCTTTGAAACGCTGCAGTGAGAGAGCCAATTTAACCTTGAGAGGGAGTTGGTTCCAGAGTTCAGGGGCAAAAACAGAGAAGGCCCAGTCATAACCCATGGTCTTGGATTTTTGTACTGTGGATCACCAAGAGTCTGATCGAGGAGGTCTCAAAGAACGGGTTTTGAAAGCAAAACAAATGCATGAAGTAGGAATGCACCTATATGACATTTTGGGGCCGATATCAATATCCGATATTAATATCACTGTTATCAATCAATCAATCAATCAAAGCTTTATTTATAAAGCGCCTTCCGCGACCCTGTCGGGAAGCCCAAGGTGCTGAACACTGCATGAGAAATGTGAAACACGATGAATAAATTGATAATAAAAGCAATTCAAATAGTGCAAAAAAGGTAAAACATTAGAGTAGAGGCAAATGGATAAAACAAGGGATAAAGAGACCAATGAAAACAGGGAATTAAAATCAACATAAAAGAGGGCCAAACTCAAACACGTTCAGGGAACGCCAAGTGGAGGAGGTGGGTTTTTAGGTGACTCTTAAAGGCTGGCAGAGATGGGGACAGCCTAACTGAGGGTGGCAACTGGTTCCAGAGTGACGGCGCTAGAACTGAGAAAGCCCGGTCCCCACGGGTACGACACCTAGAACGAGGGACAGCGAGCAGGCCTTGGTCAGAGGAGCGTAGGGCGCGTGATGGGGAATGTTTGTTCAGGAGTGTGGCTAGATAGGGGGGAGCACCACCCTGGAAGAAATGATAAACAATGATGAGGAGTTTAAAGTGTGAACGATGGCAAACCGGAAGCCAGTCCAAGGAGGCCAGAACCGGACTGATGTGGTCCTGTTTCTTGGTCCCAGTCAGAAACCTGGCTGCGCTGTTCTGCACAACCTGTAGGTGGCGCAGTGATGATTGACCCAGCCCTGCATATAGAGAGTTGCAGTAATCAAGCCTAGAAATTACAAAAGCATGGAGTATCCGCTCCAAGTGGGCTCTCGACAGCATAGGCTTGATTTTTGCAAGGCGTCTCAGATGAAAGAAACTGGACCGGATCACAGAGTTGATGTGAGCATCAAATTTAAGTCCAGCATCAATTTTCACCCCCAAATTGGTGACAACTGGTTTTGAGTAGGGAGAAAGAGGGCCAAGATCAACATAACGTTATGACCGATGACTGATATTTGCCGATGGCGACATGCTGACATTAATGCTTCTAAAAGCAGCAGATTTTGTATAGAATGACCGTAATTAAAGCTGAATGAGTTTCACTGCATTCTCATTGAACATGAATCAAGCCGCTGGCTGGGGAAATTGCCTTTGAGGAGTGAGCACCACCTCAGATCTCAAGGGATAAACCATCAGTCCTACTCAATGGTCAACTTTCCTCACAGGGTCACCCATCAGGACAGTGGGAGGGTTAAACAAAACAAAGGCACGAACTACAGATTGGTTAGCTAAGGACAGCATTGACCTAATCCGTGATAATCGTCTAAGCTGGAAGGAAAAAGACCTAGCAACTGCATCCGTGTGTGGAGTCCAGTTTTACCTCCAAACCAGTAATGGTTGATTTTTTGTACGGGGCCAAGGATTTTAGGTCGAGACCATGATGCTGACTGACTATCCTTGTTAGAGAAAACAATTATGATCTTGGTTTGTTGTTATATAATCAGCCATAGTACGTTATAAAACCTGTGACATCTCTTTCGTTTCATTTTTGTCTCAACTCTCAGGTGGAGACAGTTTTCGGTTCTCCCAACATGACTGTGGCGTACCATGTGACAGGAGGAGATGTAGTTTACCCTCCATCCGTAGTGGTGGAGGGTTTGACATCCTACGGTCGTGATAAGCTGATTGCAGACCTGCGACAATACCTCCCCTTGGTGACAGCGTTGCCTCTTCCTGTTGCGTTGTGGAGACCGTGCCCCGCCACCGGCTTCCAGTTGAAAACAGGTCAGCCAGTGCTCATTCAGCATGGAAATAAGTCACAAAACAGCAGGAGATTTGATATTTTGGTATTTGTTCCAGCTGGGACTGTGCACTGAAATGATTGAAGACAAGAATACATGTCTGCTGCATCTGACCACATTTCAACCCTTGGCCAAAGCTTTAGAGAATGACACAAATATTGGTTTTCACAAAGTTGGTTGCTCCAGTGTTTTCACCATTTTGTCTAATGCTTATGTTTACTGCAGTACAATTACAAGCAAGTATTGTCAAAATATTTATCGTCAACTAATTTAAGTTCATGCAAAAAGTCAATATTTACCCTCTTGGCCTGTTTTTTTGGGACCTCTCCAAGTCAACCAGGCATGTTTTTAATCAACTTCTGGGGGGACATCTGGCTGATTACAGCCCGTTCCTACATAATCAAATTTGTGTGGTTTGTTTGTCCACTCCTCTCTGCAAGATTGATCTCAATTTAACAATTTAGTTGACAGAGCTTCTGAAGCCCTGTTCACACAGCAGGATACCATGCTCCTTCTGACAGGCTTAAAGTCAAGCACAACTACTTAAAGGCTCTAAAGACAATCTTATAAAATGATCCTACCTTGTGTGGTATGTTAGCAGCATTTGGTCTGCTCGGAAGGACATCTGGGCCACTCGAATCATAAACATGGGTTTTTGAAAATGTTGAATCGTCTTGGTCTGATTTTCAAGGACAATGGAAACGTGCTGACAGTTGAATGTCACGTGAAACTAATCAGAAACTAAGGTGACAAAAGCACGCAGCATGACACCCTTCGCCATGTTTCTTTACTTTAAAGTCAACTTTAATCTTGTGAGATTTCATATCTGTCCGTGAAATGTCCGTGAGTGAAAGCAGTTCGTGTGTACTACTGTATATGCCGAGTTGCTTCACACCACATGCTATGTCCAAAACTGGTAGATGTGTGTGATGCGTCTCCACGAAGGAAGCCTCTCCTGAAGCCCATGCACAAAAAAGCATGTCTAGGATTTGCTAGGGCCCATGCTGGAAGAGATGAAGAAAATTTCAAAGAGAAATGCATGGTGCCTGCAGTGAAACATGGTGATGGTGATGTCGTTATGTGGGGCTGCATGAGTGCTTGAAAATCACAGTGGTCATACAAAATACTAGATGCAGTAGTTTTTGTTGCGAGGTGTTTTCATCTTTGCTTGAACCAGTTTTAGTAAAACCAAAGATTTTTTAAACCTATTTTATTAACATTAATTTCATGTTATGGAGTTAAACAAGTGTTCAGTGAAACCCAGCCTTGTGAAAATTCTGGAAATTGTTCTTTTGTTCATTGAGCTGCTGATTAAATGAGCACTTTTTAAAGGGGGTGTACTCATTTATGCTCAGCACTGTGTGACATTATCCATATGGCGTAGTCCACTATTCTGAAAGACAACAAACTGTCCTGGGAGGATGTTTAGGTACCATCATAGCTTAATTCATGACTATCCAAGGTTAAAGTTTTACTGAGTCCACTCACTAAACTGAAAAGGAACCAGTCAGATGCTTTGCTGTAAAGACTAGTTTATACTTCTCGGTCAGCACATTTGCAATCACACAAACGCATACTGATGAAGACATTTTCCATTGATACGCTGTTGGTGTGTCAGCAATGCTGCACCAGGACAGCAGGGGGCGAAGCGCTTTTCTGGCACATCTTGCCATTATTGCAGTCACATCTCTAGTCACATCTCTAGTCTTTCAGAGACATTTGAACTCAGACCAATTTGTCCTCCACGTCTTCACGCAGTCACCACCTCTAAACTCAAATTTTCCATAATTTCCTGTCACAAAAACTTTGCTGCGTATCTTTGTACTCCTTCGGTCATAGCTGTATCAACGTTTATATCGTCGCACTTTTTCCGTGAGATGTTCTTCAATCTTCGTGTCTGTCACTAAATATGTTCTGCTCTCGTTTTGTTTTTATGAGGCGGAACGGCGGTGCTGTCGAAGTAAAAGGAAGCGTCTTCCTGACCAATCACAGGCTTGCGGTCTCCATCAATTTGATGGATAATTAGAATAGTGGGCTCCACCTCATCCGTCCTCGCGAGCCTGTTGGAGAGCCCTTGCAATGCCTGATAATGACGTGTCTCCGCACCGACGCAGATGTAGAAGTATAAACTAGGCTTGAGTAGGACACCAGGCTGATGGTGCTCACTTTATCTTCTCCAAAAGCTCTTAACAAAAGAGGAATTGTGATTTATTAGAGAAAAAAACTTTAAATCATTACACAGCAGTCTAATCGCTTAGCTGTTTGGAGAATATCATTCTGATGTATTTCTTGGAGAGAACTGGCTTCATCACTCCCCTTCTTTGTACCAGACCATATTTCAATGGTCTTTTGTGAAAATTAATATTTGTGTTATTGTCAAAGCATTTGGCTCCATCTGTGAAGACAACATATCAAATTTCAGCCAATACGTTCCTTAAAAACCTGCTGTGATTGTTTTTGTATTTAATTTAATTGTATTTTTTGCAGTGTTACAGTTTGTGGGAGCAGGTGACGATCCCCGATCCTGTCGCTTCTCTCAGATGATGGAACAGAGACTTGAGAGGGTGTTTTCTGAGGCGCAGGCCAAAGTCTTTAAAGCTAAAAGTCAACTATCAGTTCAGGTACTCTTACTCTTAGATCAATGTTATGGTTCACCTAACTCCATTGTGGGATTGCGTCTGAAAGCCACAGGCTTACTGCACTGACAGGGAATCAGAACACGTGTGCTGTTTGTACTACAGAACACCCAGAGATTAGGAAATAATTCACTGAATCGTGTTTGCTGCACATTAGAATACATTTGAAACAAATTAGTTTCCTATCAGACATCAATGTCACCTTGTGATTTATGAGTTCTGTCAACCACAAACACATGCAAATTGTGTACAATTTGTTCAAAACTATCCCTTAGCATATCTGGGCGTGTCTTTTCTCTCTCCTTTTTTAACAGCTGCTTCTGAGAGGCGAGTTAATTGTACCAGGGGACGAAACGTTTGTAATAATTTTAATGAGCTGCCACATTAAATCGGATCAAACTGAACAAAAATGCTGCAACATTTTTGTACGCTTTTACAACTTTCCTGTTGTGCTGCTGGAAGATTTTTATGTGATGCTTTTGTAATTCTCTTTCATGTCATTTATCTATACTTTGCACATCAAAGTGTACGGAATAGTTCGAGCGTTCAGCTAATTTTACGCATTTGTCTGCGTCCTCTTCTCTGTGACCTGAAGTCCTTCTGCTTTTGTTTGTTTTCCCGTAGGTGCTGAGTGTCTCTCAGGCAGCAGGCTCTCCTGCTGTGTCGTTAGTGTACACTGTAAAGAATGGGAGTGTTTATCTTAACGGAACAGCTGCCTCCAACCTTCTTGGTCAGCTTTCTGCTGAGCTAGTGGGCTACTTCCTCTTCTATCCACCACTTATCATTGCAGAACGTAAGTAATAAATTCAGTGATATGAAGTCGGAAAAGCTTCCATGCATTCCCCCAGGGAATGGTCCATTTTCAGAAAATCTGCTCCATATTTTTGCACATTTTACCCCAAAATGCTGATTACACAAGCAAAAACTTGAGTGTGATGCAACTGTTGCAGTACAGTGTGGATCAATCTGAATAAAGTTGAAGTAAATGGATGTTTATGAAAGCTCAGCTGCTACAGTGTTTCAGCAATGTCATTGGAGAATGGTAATGAAAAGACAGAAGTGCGCCCGTAAACTTCTTTCCAGACTCCTTAGAGGAAACCTTCAGCATCAGTTTACTCTAAAGATGTTTTCAGAGTTAATGTGGAGTGACAGGGGATCAGCAGGAGTCTAAACAGTGGTCCCAGTGGAGTTCCAGTCAGTTTCAGCAGAGAGAAATATGACTCAGACAGGTAGAAAATGAGAAATGATTTCCCTGTGGGGCTTTATTAATCCCTGGATGAGAGGATAATTGGTTTGATCATTCACTCAAAAGTTTTTGGAACTGGCCTTCTAGACTTCTAAAGCCGACAGGGGGATATACACTCATTTTAAATCAAATTTGATTAGAATATTCTTATAAAAGTCATGGATTTACATTGTGTTCCTCTGAATCAACACACAACAAAACATATAATCTAATAATAACAAGAATAAAGACTAAACTCCCATTATTTGTCACACACTGGTGAAATTTGTCGTCCATATTTGACCATCCCCTGTGGGAGCGGTAAGCTGCAGACACAGCCTCGTTCGGGTTTAAACCCCCCCCCCCCCATTACCATGCCTGAATGCAAGCAGACTGCTTGCATGTAGTGTGCATTATTCACCAGTCGTTCATAATATAAATCTGTATTTACAAACGTCTGAGTCGAAGGAATCCAAAGGTCTTCATAAAGTATCAAGTTTAAAAGGCCTGCCAGGTCAGTTTTCATCTGCTAGAGCATGACTTCCTGTGGTGTTTAGCAAAGTAAGTACACATTTCTGAAGACGTTCAAGAATAAGCTTTGGCTATTTAGAGATCAGAAAAGCTTATCTTTCTTTGGTGGCCACCTCTCCTAAAGTCACCGAGCACAGACCAGAACAAGCTGTTGAACTCAGCCTCGGGTATCTTCCCTGAGACGCTTCTGCCAGAACCAGAATCCCACATTACCAGGTGAAACGAGAAAGGGCTAAACACCAGCTTTCTAGGTCCAAATGTCTTTTGTTGTCCTTGACTTCAAATGGAACTCTGGTAGTCAGAGTAGGGAAAGTTTGTTTTTTAAAGCAAACTAGTTCAAAGTTTAGTTCATAAACTTGCAAGTAAGAGAAAAACTGGTTTAAATAAAGACCAACACACTTTCTGTTTGTGAAATTAAGAATCACTTTGAGCTTTGACTGAAATCAGCGTGAGTCTGGTTGTCCTACAGGCTATGAATATTAAAACAGCAGAAAGAGACGCTGACAAGAAAACCCCAGACTGATGTGGAGCCGGAGTAAGAAAGGGATTCATTATTTTGGTCTTTAATGCACCTTTCCAAGAAGGAGTGAGCTCATATGGTGGAAGCGACTGCTTCCTCACTTCAAAGCTGATTACTGCGGTAAATAATTAACAGTAGGGGATTCCTCCAACACCCTGGGCTCGGGTCTAACAGACGGGGCGACGGTGGCACAGGAGTTAAGTGCTCGCCCCGTAACCGGAAGGTTGCAGGTTCGAGCACCGCTCAGTCTGTCGCTGTCGTTGTGTCCTTGGGCAAGACGCTTAACCCACGTTGCCTGCTGGTGGTGGTCGGAGGGACCGGTGGCGCCAGTGCTCGGCAGCCTCGCCTCTGTCAGTGCGCCCCAGGGCAGCTGTGGCTACATTGTAGCTCATCCCCACCAGTGTGTGAATGTGTGTGTGAATGGGTGAATGACTGATTGTGTTGTAAAGCGCCTTGGGGGGTTCCAGGACTCTGGAAGGCACTATATCAAATACAGGCCATTTACCATTTACCATTTAACAGCCACAAACCAGATCTCGCTCCACCTCGTTGTGCATGTCTGCAGCTCCATGTTTCCACTGGTGTAGGCTGAACTGCAAGATTCAGCTACTTCACTCCTCCACCGCTCCAGATATTTCTCTCAGGTGGAAAATAAGTGAAGCTGCTGGGGAAGTTTATAGACAGCACTCTCAGGACTTCAGTCTGTGTGCAGGTGCAGAATGTGAATTATGGTTTTAATAATTACTTTCTGTCTTTTTCTGTGTGCATTCCAGTGTTTACAGCCCCCTTGGCTCTTACTGCAAACTAGAAAATGTTCACCAATAACCTTCTCTCGGAGTTTTCCTTCACATGATTCAGGCTAGAATAGTCTGTGTAGAACCAATTCTGCAGACAGCCCTGCAGCTCTACCAATCCAAAAACCTCCTTACGGGTTCTCTCTCACCCTGCCCTCCCGCCTTTTCCGTTTCTCCCCCACCCGTCACGCCTGAGTGTACAGTTCTTCTGCGCATCGGCTTTCACAGGCCACTGACACAGCATTCCCCCAAACACTGCTGCACCAGCCTGCAGCACAACAGCTTAATCAGGCAGGAAATAGATGTAAGAGAACTCAGAGACAACCAGCGCTCAGACAGCTTTAAGCTCCTCGTCTCCTCTGTATTTGTCTGACATTCAGTGATAATGAGGCTTTGAACCGAGAACTCAGCTGCAGAAAAATGAATAAAAAAAAGTTCCAAACTCCAAACTGTTACCCGCTCATGTCTTTTCAGAAGTCATTTAACAAAGACTTTGAAGCAGAAACAAATAAAAAAGCAGACAGATTGGTCTTAATTTTAAGTTGTCTGAAGCTTTTGTTACATTTCCTTTTTCTCTTTCAGCACTTGAATATCACAATCTCAACACATCTGTGGCAACAAGGGACTTCTGGGTTGTTACAGGTAATGATGTCATTGATTTTGTTTGAAAGCAAAAAGCAAAAAACTGTCTAAAATTTCTGTTTGGACTTAACCCCCCTGGAGGCAGGCGTTGCAGATTTGCAACAGTTAAAACCTACCTACCTGGTTACTCCACATACGTATTTCATGAGCATTTTTAACTCAGAAGTACCCCTGAAGGACTTAGTTGTTCATCCTTTTATCAAAACTTATTTTGAGCCTGAGAGGGTTAAAGAACAAACTCCACTACGGAAAAAAGAGCCTCATTCAGCTGTAATAAATGACCTATAGGTTCGCTGATCAATCACACACCAGCAGGATCCTACAATAAAACTTTCTGCTCATTTGCAATTATTAATGTCTTTTTATCTGGAGAATTTACTGAAAAATGAACCACGTGCTTCATGAAACTACATGTGATTAATATATACATGTTGGAGGACATCCTCACAAAGATCAGACTCTGTGGCTCTTAACCCTGCGTGAGGAGTCAATCTGAGGTCAGCACTGACCTAAAGAGATTTACTCAGAATGAACAAGACATGCAGCCAACAGCATTGCTTTGCCAGCTATTGATACATAGGATTTTTTCCCCTTTATTTATTTTGTTAACCACCAATTGAAAGATGGACTACAGCTCAGTATTGGCCATAATTGTTGTTATTTTAGAAGTAAAACTATTTACTTAAATTCTGGTGGTAAAGTGTCTTTAGGACTATTTTTGTCATTATTTAATAAAGCATTTGTTTTTAATAGCTGAATAATTTATTTTTACAAAAAGAATGTAATTTTGTTCATCTACTTCTTAAAAAAAAAGAATCCCATTATATTACAAATTGGCTTACCGCTCTTCCTGTGGCAGCTTTTCTCACTGTAGAGGTATTGTTTTACATCGATCTGTGCTCCCCTGTTGTAATCGTTTCTCCACCTGGATTGCTCTTTCCCCTTTAGCCTCTGAAAAAAAGGATTTTTAAATAATTGCTAAAAAAATGTATCTTTTTTAAGCTTTCTTCCTTTTGTACATTTTAGCCTGTGAAATACATGCAGGTGGCTGAATATCGCCATTAAAAATGCTTCTTCTGTATAAAAATTAAGAATAGCAACGTGTACATCATACAGCTGACTCATTACCTCATGAGCTATAGACAGTATGATATTTATACCTCCATGCCAAAATGTGTACATTTTTTAAGGGAAGGGACACACCTTAATGCAAGGAGAATCGTTAGTAATTTTGCTGAGTACATTAGACTTCCCTTGCTTTTTCTTCTCTTCTGGGATTTAGGGCCGCACACACTGCCGTTGGTTTTCATGTAACGTGATTTTTATTATTTTTTGACTAAACCATTTCACAGATATTAAAGGGGATATATTACACAAAAACCACCTATTGTATTCTTTTGTCCTGCTATGTGGGTCTCTTCTGCCTCTATAGCCGCTTATCCATCTGCAAGGTTTGGCACGGAGCGGAGTGAGATATTGTGGACCAGTGTGTTCCAGTATGGGTCTCCAATTTCAGGAGAGCGTTCAAGGCGGCAGGCGGGTTTAAACGAACCATCATGCGCAATTTTATAAATAAGTTGTGTAACTATTCAATATTTTTGTGCTGCAATAAATGGTCTGCAGCGCTAATGATAACAACAAAATGCTTACCACAAGCTCCACATGTGACTCCAGAGTGTGGTCGCTGAGTCTAGGCCTGCCTCCTTTTGCCAGTCTGTCACTATAATTAGCATCCATTGCGTCGCAGCACTTCCGTGTATTTCTCCCATTTCCAATCTGCAAAAATAAATTCACTCTGGCAGTTTTTGTCCTTAACTTTTTTATATTGGGCTTTAATTTCTTCAGCTTGGCCCAACACTGTTCCAACGTTCGCTAGGATCCTTTGGTTGCCGTCCGCTGAGAAACAAACTTCCTTACCAATCCGTCTAGCTTGTCCTGAGTGTGGACTCTCACGATGACAGTGAGGAATGCATGGAGCTCTGAAGGTGACCAAAAGTTGCTGCTACGCTGGCATTTTCTCACATTCATGTACAACTAATGAAAATATAAAAAACGGGACTCAGGTTTGTTTTGCTTGTTGCATGTAGTGATGTATTTCTGCCAACCAGTCAGCGGACTGTGTTGTTGCTCCACCCTAACCATACCGCTCCAGAAATTTCTGGATCCACAACAGACGGGGGCCAAAACAGCTGCGTGACTGGTGCGGTCCGGGTAGGTTGTCTGGACCGGTTTTACCATCGGAACAGAAAAATTTGTGATCCGATCCTTCCACGTCCAAACGGTCAATGGAAATGAGCTTTATAAACCCTCTTTGGTTTGGTTTGGATTTAAGGACTTTTATGCCTAAAATAAGCATTTTAAAAACAAATCTCCAATTGTGATGTCACAAACAGGGGAATTAACACCTATCACGTGGAGAGCCACTGCTGCTAGAGAGCAGCAGCATCGCAGCTTCACTGCTTATAGTAGCCTGAGTGGGGGACTAGTGGGCTTGGTCAGCATCATCTATTTTTCTTAAAGTGACAGAGCCCAGAAATGGCTCATTCTGGAAGGTACTGAAAATGCCAAGAATCTAACGGCTGAAACAGCTTCGTGTGATTTTAGGCAAAGAACGTCAAGAAAACGTTTGTATGAACCATAAAACTGTAGAAAAAAGTCATAAATAATAATAAATAAAGGTCGTTTATTGGGTATATTTGAGGCTGTTAGTATCTTGATGCCCAAGGCATTGGTTTACCTTAGTCTCACGGTAAGCTCGCCTCTGAAAATTGGCTCACATTATGTTGCAACCCCCAGGCTTCCTTCTTTCTTTGAAAAGCAGCATACAGTATTTCAGGATGTCTTTTTGAGACCATGTAGATAATTTGGTTTCTACAGAGTTTGAAGGTAAGGTTAATGCTTTAGGTCGAATTCTGGGTTCACTGAACCAATCCTGTTGAGTTATTGCACATTTGTACATCATCCTACTGCTGTGGCAGTGGATGTGAGGTGGTAGATGTTGGCCTAATATTGTGACTGAATAGGTTTTCCGCTGCTGGGTTGTACAGCAGCGTACTATTCAGAGTTTGATGGTTCCTTGCAGCAACATTAACATTAGAAGTTTTAAAAATCTTCCGTGCCGTTTGTCTTTGAGGATCATTTTAATTAAACTTAAATAACTGAAAAAGTTTTCTTTGTTTTTTGATATTTTTACATGTCTGAAGGCCAACTAACTCCCCTGCTGTTTCTCTCCTTTTCCTTTTAGTAATTTCTGTCCTCCAGAACAATTCATCACACCCCCTTTCACAACCATCTGTCTCCTCTCTGTTTTCTGACTCTACTTGCAGTGATCCAGGATGTTGATAACGCCAGCCTGGAGGGACAGTACCAAAGCTTCGCCAGTCTAATGGAGCAGCGTCTGGCTGAATTGTTCGTGTTGGCGAGCCAGCAGGGCACTCGCTTGCGACGTGCCACGGCTGTGGGCAGCTTCACCGTCCAGGTATGAAAACAGCCCAGCAGCTTGTGAAAGGAGACTTAGGTCAGACTGCTCTGCTATTTTGGGGCAGCAGTAGCTCAACAGGTTGAGCGGGTTGTCCAATAATCGGAAGGTTGCAGGATCGATCCCGGCTTCGGACAGATAATTCTGCTGTTGTGTCCTTGGGCAAGACACTTAACCCACCTTGCCTGCTGGTGGTGGTCGGAGGAACTGGTGGCGCCTCGCCTCTGTCAGTGTGCCCCAGGGCAGTTGTGGCTACATTGTAGCTCATCACCATCAGTGTGTGAATGTGTGTGTGAATGGATGAATGATACACTGTAGTGTAAAGCGCTTTGGAGTCCTTACTACTCTGAGAGGCGCTATACAAGTGCGGGTCATTTATGTTAATCAGAAGTTTATTAAGTCAAATTGTTTTGTGAGCTTATTTCTAAGATGACTATTTCATGAGATGTACACGTTGATGAGTGTCTCTGCAGCGCTTGGGTGATAAGTTCTGGTCAGCCCCCTAATTCGGGAGCTTCTCAGCTCATTGTTTTCTAATTGCCCATCAAAACAAGCCAGAAGTTTAATTAAAGTGCTGTCTACTGTTTTTGTGCCATTCCCTGTGAGCAAACTTGACACTGAAATGCACAGTTTCAGCTTTTTTGCATAGGTGTAATGATACATAAAATCATCCTGTGATGGTTCAATAAGGACTTTGGGATCGGTACACAAATCACATGACTAATACATTAGTCGTAGATGATTACCATAGGAGCACATGTTTTTTTTAATTCACCTGTAATTTTAGCCTTGCAAGCCATCCTATATACAGCACTCAGCATAAATGAGTACACCCTGTCACACCCTGTCTTGTCTCCCCATTCTGTTCAGTCATGTGTCTCTGTTAATTGCTCCCACCTGCCTCTCGTTTTCCAATCACCCAAGCTCCCAGCCCTCATGAATTTAAACCCTCTCAGTTCTGTGTGTTTTGTCGGTTCATTGTTTCTATGTCCAGCGTGTTTTATATTAAAACCTTTGTAAATCGTTCCTGTCTGTCTGCCTGCCTGCCTTCACCCGCGTTTGGATCCTTGCCTCCGCTCACCTCGCCCACACGCCGTGACAAATGAACCAACCGCCTCGCCGCAGACGCCGCCGCCGAATCCTGGCCTCGGCGATCCTCTCCACCCTCCCGGAGCCAGATGGGGGGTTGGACTGGGAGACGCAGCCAGACCGATCCTGCTATGTGGGCACCAGACTGGCTGTGTGCTCCACCGGAGTTGGCCCACGGCGTTGGGAAGGATGCCGGGCTCCACCGTCACCCCCTGTCCCAGGACGGAACCACGGGCTCTTTGCTACCCCAGCTCGGCACGCCAGCTTAGACCCAACCCCAGTCAGATCAGTGGCCCCGTCTCCGGTCCAGTGAGCACCTCCTTCATCTGCAGGCAGAGGGACCACACCTACAGCCCATCAGACGAAGCTTGCCGGCATCCAAGCGGAGCTTGGCCGGCTCCGTCAACTCCTCAGCCTCCAGGAGTTCCAGCTGGACACCCTATCCTCCCTGTATCTCCAGGAGAAGGTTTCTGTCCAGCCAGCGGCCCCGCCTCCGGTCCAGTCAGCAGCTCCCTCGTCTCCAGGCCAAAGGACCGAGTCCGCAGCCCATCCAACACAGCTTGCTGGTCTCCGAGCTGAGCTGGTCCAACTCCGTCAGATCTTCAGTCTCCAGGAGCTCCAGGTGGACAATCTAATCTCCCTGCATTTCCAGTTCCCGGCTCCACCTGGTCCCGCGCCACCAGTCCAGTCAGCGCCAGGTCCCGCATCACCAGTCCAGTCAGCGCCATGTCCCCCGCTACCAGTCCAATCAGCGCCAATTCCAATGGTGGTCCAAGAGGCTCCGCCCCTGGGCCAGCCGGTCCAAGAGGCTCCGCCCCCGGTCCAGCCGGTCCAGGAGGCTCCGTCCTGGGCCAGCCTGTCCAGTTGTCAGAGCCCAGTCCGGCGGCACCAGCCAAGAAAGTGGTCCCGTCTGCAGCTGCTCCGCCTCCACTCCAAAAGTCGGCGGCCCCTCCTGCAGCGGCCCCGCCTCCACTCCAGAAGTCGGCGGCCCCTCCTACAGCGGCGACGCCTCCAGTCCAGAAGTCAATGCCTCCTCCAGTCCAGAGGTTGATGTCTCCTCCAGTCCGGAGGTTGACATCTCCTCCAGTCCAGAAGTCGACGCCTCCAGTCCAGAAGTCGACGCCTCCAGCCCAGAGGTCGACGCCTCCTCCAGCCCAGAGGTCAACGACATCTCCTCCAGTCCAGAAGTCGACGCCTCCAGCCCAGAGGTCGACGCCTCCTCCAGCCCAGTGTTCGACGCCTCCTCCAGCCCAGAGGTCAATGACGTCTCCTCCAGTCCAGAGGTCGACAACGTCTCCAGTCCAGAAGTCGACGACGTCTCCTCCAGCCCAGAGTTCGACGACGTCTCCTCCAACCCAGAGGTCGACACCGTCTCCAGTCCAGAAGTCGATGACGTCTCCTCCAGCCCAGAGGTCGACAACGTCTCCAGTCCAGAAGTCGACGACGTCTCCTCCAGTCCAGAGGTTGACGACGTCTCCAGTCCAAAGCCGACGACGTCTCCTCCAGTCCAGAAGCGTACAAGGCCACGTCCGGCATTTCTACCTGCTGAGACTACCCCTGCAGCGGCTCTGCCTCCGGTCACCGCCGGTCCTGCCCTCACCAGGTGCGAGCCTCCCAGAGCCCATCGCCGTCTCCTCCTCCGCCCCAGACGCAGGCCCCCCAGAGCCTGCCTCTTCTCCACCGGTCCCTCGGTTCCTCTCGGCCCTCCTTCCTGGTCCCCCTCCTCCTGCCCTGCTCTGTGTTCCTGTGGGTGTCCGGGATCGGCCCTGTTTTTTTTTTGGGGGGGGGGGGGGGGGGGGCATGGGTACTGTCACACCCTGTCCTGTCTCCCCATTCTGTTCAGTCATGTGTCCCTGTTAATTGCTCCCACCTGCCTCTCGTTTTCCAATCACCCAAGCTCCCAGCCCTCTTGTATTTAAACCCTCTCAGTTCTGTGACTTCTGTCGGTTAATTGTCCAGTGTGTTTTTATATTAAAGCCTTTGTAAGCTGTTCCTGTCTGTCTGCCTGCCTTCTTCACCCGCGTTTGGATCCTTGCCTCCGCTCACCTCGCCCACATGTCGTGACACACCCCACTACATTTGTCAGAAAACCTTTAGTTTCTTTTCAGAATCAGCATTTTCTATGAGACACCAAACTACAAAATACTCCCACAAATGTGGGCCATTGATTGTAAACATGATTTGTTCATTTGCACACACAAAAAAGTGAATTTCCTAACAAATCCTTCCAAGCCCATGTTGCAAAAATGAGTACACCGCAATTATAGTCTTATGAAAAAAGCCACACTTAAAACCACAAAATTTGAATCATAGGCATTCAACCACAGGTGAGTCTAATGATTAATTTAAGAGGTGTCCAGCAGACAGGTGACTATAAAAGGGCATTTTAACAAAGAAAAGCCCTTCCCATTTCATGCTGTCAGATATGGCTCCTCATGGAAAAGAAATGTCTCAAAATCTGAGAAAGGAAATAAAGTCTTTACATAAAAGGTAAGGGCTTCAAGAGGATCAGCAAAGCTTTACATAACAGTCAAAATATTGTAAAAAAGGTCATCTAAAAATGTACGAAAGATGGAAATGCAACCATCTTACAGAGACGTCCAGGCCATCCATGGAAGTTAACATCTCACCTGGAGCATCTTCTGATGAGAAGCGTTGAAGAAAATCATCATGTACGTTCACTGCAGTTGCAGTAGAAAGCCAAAATGGAGTGGTCGTTTCCTGTGACACCATACGGCACACACTGCAGAGGAATGGTATGCATGGGTATCGTCCATGAAGGAAGCTTCTCCTGAAGCCTGTGCACAAAAAAGCACATCTAGGATTCGCTAGGACCCATGCTGAACACCTGTGGGGAATTCTGAAGCAGCAAGTTGAGCATCACTCTCCGTCCAGCATCCAGGCTCCAAAAGAGGTTATTCATGAAGAATGGAAAAAAATAGATGTTGCAATATGTCGCCAACTTATTCATTCCATGCCTAGAAGACTTGGTGCTGCCCTTAAAAATCACAGTGGTCATACAAAATACTAGATGTAGTAGTTTTTGTTGTGGGGTGTATTCATTTTTGCTTCAACCAATTTTAGTAAAACTGAAGAATTTTGAGATCAGAGTTATTTTATTAACCTTAATTTCATGTTATGGAGTTAAACAAGTGTTCAATAAAACCCAGCCTTGTACAAATTCTGGAAATTGAGTTACTGATTAAATTCGTACTTTTTAAAGTACATTTATGCTGAGAACAGAATGAGAAGATGTAGCCTGGTCACGGTCCATAGACATCTCTTAGCGGTGAGGCAGGATCTACAGTCTTCTTTTAGGCTTTCTCTGCATGCTATTGGAAAACAAACAACACGACACACTCAGTGCTATGTCAATGAGGCCATCTGCCATACTCCGTCAAAAAAAAATGCAAATATATCCTTTTTCTAAATAAGCTCTTCTATCTGCTCTTGACTCAAAGAAAAACCCAAGTCAAAATAGTCCAAAGTTGATTCCAACCACCAACAGAGTGCTGTGATTGGCCCACCAAACCAATAGAGCACTTTGATTGGACCACTTCAGATGTCGGTCAACGGGGCTGCATGTGCATGAAGCAGGGAGAAAGATGAAAATATATTGTTTTTTCTAAATCAACATGCTGTGATTGGCCAGTCACAATACTGGCCGGGGCTGTGGAGGCTCCTATGGAGCGTTGTTAGACCATCATGCAAAGCAAAATTATTTGTCTTCAGCAAATGATGGTCTAGACTCCAGGCTACTGCATTTGGTAACAGCTAGCAAAAGATGATCTTAGTGAAAGCTCTCTGCAGCACGCAAGGGCGTCAGTTTGTTTTCAGAATTGCTGGGGACAATAACCATACACTTGAGTGGGGTTTAAAAATTGCTGGGGACAATAAAGTAGGCTAGCACAGGGGTCGGCAACCCGCGGCTCTGGAGCCGCATGCGGCTCTTCCATCCATCTGATGCGGCTCTCTGTGCTTGTAAAATAATGAATGGATATTTAAATAAAATGCTTTATATTTTACTGCATTAATTTTACATATGTAAGCTAATTCTAAATGTAAAGATTTTCTGCGTAAACCTGAACAGTTCCAACCCGGTCTTACTGTGAGACCGTGCTGACGCATCACGCTTGTGCGTAATCATATAGGCGCTTCTGAGCTGAAGAGGATGTGAGATTCTGGGATTCTCCTCAGACGGCTCATGGATGTGTCGCCATATTGGAGACAGGAACAAGCACTATTCAGCCAAAGCTTCATAATCAGGGAACATTTTCTAAGTAACAAGTCTCTCTGAGAGACAGGGTTTGGAAAACACTCGCTTCAGTGGGAGGAATCTTCCCGCATGCGCTCTGGTTCTGCGACGCGCTCCAAGCCAATCTCCACGTCTTCAGCTTGCTGTGTACCTTATGTAGTACACGCTGACAGCGAGCTGCGCTGAGCAGTGTCCAGCTCAGATGTTCAGGTGGGAATCTTTTCTTGAGTGATTTAGCTACATCTGCAATGTGCAAAACGAATAAAATGTCAGTTCGTCTGCATGCGTCGGGGTAATTCTTTCTGTTCTTTCTCCGTCAAAATAAACGGTCAAATACGGGAACTGTCTGGTCAACATAAGCCCTGCTTTTAACTGTTCTGTTTTCTTGTGAAAATAGAAAAAATTAAACTTGATTAACACCAGAGCCAGGCGCACTGCGCCGTTATCTCCGTCACTGTAAATGAGGGAAAAATAAAATGATCAGATCCTTTTCTGACCTTCCCCACCTACAAAGTTTAATTACAACAATCAAACGTGACAGAGCCTGGATTTGTATTCTGAACAGTCTAAACGTGTTTTAAAAAGAAACGTATGACAAAAGTGGCACCTGCTCAGTAAAACCACCAACAGGGTGAAAAATACCAAAATATTGTAGGCAGAGACGGGCTACAACTTCTGGATCCACTTTATATAAATCATTTTATTGATTATCGTCTTATGAAAGATAACTTTGACGTACACGAGCGACCAGGCGCGTTGCAAGCTTTTCAAAAGTGTGGGGGATGTTGTCTGTGCCTAAAATAAGTTCATGTTATTCATCTTGTTAGTTTAATTTCCATGATAGTTGAGCAGGTGCGAATTTTAGACACGTCACGCATGTCTCCGTTTTAAACATGTTTAAACTGTTCAGAATACAAATCCAGGCTCTGTCTTGTTAGATTGGTGTAACTAAAGTTTGTACTGAATGAAACTTTACATTAAACCATGTTGAAGAGAAAAGGATCCGATTAAATTGTTTCCCCCTCATTTTACAGTCAGTACAGCGCAGTGCACGTGGCTCTGGGGTTAATCGAGTTTAGTTGTTTCTCTTTGCAACAATCTTCACAAGAAGGTAAAACAGTTAAATGGCAGATTACAGATATTTCCATTTGACTGTTTATTTTGACAGATAAACTCAAGGATGTTGGTTGTTTTGAAAGAATTACCCCGACGCACACTGATACAGATGAGCTGACATTTTAATTGTTACGCACATCGCAGAGGTAACTAAATAAATCAAGAAACGACTCCCATCAGAACATCAGAGCTTTATGCTGGACACTGTGTTCAGCGCGGCTCGGAGCGCCCATGGTGGACAGTGGGCTGAAGATCTGTAGAGGGGTTCGCAGCGCAGTGCAGAACCACGGTGCATGCGATAAGATTTCCTCCCACTGAAGCGGTCTGGAAAGCCGGTCTCTCTGAGGGATGTGTCACTTGGAAAAATGTTCTTTTTATGAAATTATGAAACTTTGGCTGAACAGCGCTTGTTCCCGTCTCTAATATGGAGACACATGACGCGTAGAGACATTTGATCACGCACAAAGTTTATGTGGAGCAGAAGTGGTCGGGCCACGGCAGGTGAAATGTTCCTAGCCTACATGAAGTGAAACTGTTTAATTGTAACATTAATATGTTACTGGACACGCTGGTCTGGTTGGTTAGACCAGTGTTTGAAGTGGAAAACACACACACACACACACAGACCAATTAAAATAATGCTGATAGCATGGACTAGAAGCCAGGTGATGGTTTACGTATTTAAATGATGATCAGGCTGCTGTAAAATGTAATCTCCATCCACATCCAGACACAATTATCCTCTATTCTTTCTCTAGTTGCTCTGCTCTTGTCTGGGCTGATCAGCTGATGGTGCGTGCGGCACGCCTAACTAGCGGCTGATGCACATTTTACGCATTTGGAGAGGTGGGCTGGAAGCTTTGCTTTTACTGGAAGATGGTCCACTTAACGCACGGGTGTAGACTAAATATTAATGACAAATGAATGAAAATTAAATTGTGAGTTTTTACTTCATATTTTAGAAATTAAAATGACGGGGGAACACATTTATGACGTCTTTTTAAACAAAATTTTCTAGCGCGACCTGCCTGCTTCACTAAGTCACTGCTTATTAAAGTCCGTCCAAAATTACCGTGGCCCACCCAAAAATGAAAACCTGGCGCCGCACCTGTTATAAACCTCTGCAAATGGTTGTTCTTCATGTTATCAAACTCAGACTTTGTACAGCTAATGCCAAGATGTAGAATTATGAATTCAGTCGAGCTCTTCAGTCCCTCCCTCTCCTGCTCTCCTGGAAACCCGACATCGGCTGTCAGAAGCGGGAGGTGAAGAAGGAGATCAGGCAAACAGAGTGAGTGCGACATAAAGAAACCAGTCTGGTGTGGAGGTGAGCAAAACAGAAGGAAAAGTGTGAGTGTTGAATCCCCCACGGGTGCGACGCCCATGCGAGCGACCGGTACCGGCTGCTGTCACCTGTTGTGAGCAGCTCTCTGCTGTCTGAGGGTAGGCCCCGCCCACAACGCCGCGGCTGCTGCGGTGTTTTCTTTACTGTGGGAAATGGGTAATAATGGCTCTTTGATGGGAACAGTTTGCCCACCCCTGGTATAAGATCTGAGCTGGTAAAACAAAAATCCTCATCAGCAGAGTTTTTTGAAAGTGGGGGGGACACAGCTGCCACTCACAAATTTTGCCGGGGACATGTCCCCGGCGTCCCCGTTTAAAATGACGCCTATGGCAGCACGTCATTGTTCAGTAATGTTTGGTAATGGGTGTAAAAGTGTGTAACCTGTTGTTTCCATTCAGATGGTGAGCATCCGCAGAGTCTCTGGGTTAAAGAATCCAGCAGAGATGACTTACTACGTTCAACACAATGGCATCCCCTTATCAGGTACTTCTGCTGCAAAAGTCCTGAACACGGTGGATTCTCAGACCATGGCGCTCACACTGGCTTACTTCGTCCAGCTGCAAGCAGAGCGTAAGTACGCCTGGCTTCAAATGTGTGACAGCTTGGAAATGTGCAGCAAGTCAAGCAAACCAAAATGCATCGCTCATGCCGAGTTTGGAAGGAAGAGCTGGTGTTGGGGTGAGGGGTATTGAAAAAAAGTTTTTGCTTTATAATCTGTCTGAAAGTGGTCCCAGTGGGACTGTGTTTGGTCTGAAGGGCCGCTCACTGCTAAGAGGCAAAGAGGAGGGGGGAAAGGGGGAGTGCGCACGCAGCATTTACCTATGGATTGTTGCCGACAAAAGCTGAATCAGGCTCTAGCTGCATCAGCTGTGCACAGTGTCACTTAGCAAGAAAGGCTCTGATGTTAAAGTGTGATGTTGTGGTTTTAACATGCATACCCTAGTATTATTTAAATAAAAGAGACAGTAGATAAACAGTCATGGAGAAATTACATCTAAAGGGTTTTTTCATCTTTTCAGCCGTGGTCAAGACTCCCCCTAATAACCTGTGGATAATTGCTGCAGTGTTGGCCCCGATTTCACTGGTAATACTCACTATAATCATCATCACTGCCGTGCTGTGCAGGAAGAATAGGAAGGATTTTAAAGCCGATGCCATCGGTAACCTCAATCCCCGAGCCAAGGTAACAAACCTGTTTATTCATCTGGAGTAACACCACTTTACCTGATGAGCAATGTCACTTTGCATGTTTAGTAAATATAATAATTTTTTGCTTTTAGATCCTTAAACTGATATCGTTTTAGTTGTGAAGTGCTGGTGATTATGGTTACAATAATGGACCTTGTGTTGCGTTTCTGCTGAGTATCTTATTTTAATCGGCTGTTTCTTTTCTACTGTTAAAACTTTCAGCACCATCTTAAAAGCTACAAGATTCAAAATAATCTTGAACACAAACAAAATTTCCATCCATGCTGTCTTAACAGATTGCATCTTGTTTTCAGATGGCATACCGGAGAGATGTGAGCTATTATCACCAGGTATTTGTCTCCCTCTTTATTCTTTCTCATTACCAGTCTGTGTTTTGATTTTCAAGGCTCAGCCGAGTCAACTGTGGGATTTAAATGGGGTTCTGTGCAGACAACACCACTGACACATTTCAATAAATCCAGCAGTGCAAATGAAAAACCAAGGATTTAACAACACTTCAGAGTAACAAACCTTTCAGCGCGTAATTTTCTTGGATGGAAGGTTAATATCGTCTGCTCTTCTTATAGCCGTCTCCAGATGGCTACATTAGAAACCCCGGCTGTGCTGATAAAAGGTTAAAATCTTTTTAAATGTGTCCTTGTGCACACTGGCTATATTTAAAGGTGTCCTAGAATTTAAAACCACATTTGCCTAGTGGTTGTTTAAGGCAGCTTGGGGTGTCTACTGTTGCATACCAAAAAGCAATAGCATAACAGTTTGAGCACATCTAAATGCTTATGAGCAGTGGAGGTGCAGGACGCAACCTGAGTGAGTCTGTATTTTATAATAAAGTGCAGAACTTGGTTATCTATATAAATTGTGTAGGCTTATGAAAACTCACAGCTCTGCCCATTTATGGAAAAACATTATTGCATTTAAGTACGTAGACATTTCCAGAATCCACATTTAAATACATTAAGTTGTAGTTCTGATAACTCAAGTTATTAATAAATTAAACAAAGACAGTTTTTATGTATATTTGAATGGTATGTGGAATGATCTGTATGATCGCAAGTGTCTATTCTGGTAAGGAAATAAATTCCCAATTTTCTATTGTAAAAACCTACTGAATGGTGCACTGATCTGCATCAATAACTTATACACAATAGTGATTATTAAAGTGTGAGAAATGATACCACTCTGGGGATTATTGTTTTACTGGCAGCTGAGATCCTGTCCAATCTCCTTTAGCCCTATAATAAATGACGTTGGTATGAAACTTACTGCAGAAGGTCAGCATAAATGTGCGACCTATGGTAACCCTAACCCAAAATCTTTGTAGACCAAAACTGACTTCAACTATGTATTTTTGTCCAAAAGTCTAAGACTAAAACTAACCCTGCTGAAATAGAAAACAGCTTATACCAGCATAGCTGGTTACCAGCATATATAGTGCTTTAGTGCTGGAATGCTGGTCCATTATTGGACCAGCATCCCATTCTGAACCAGCATGCTTGAGCCTGCTGGAGCTGGTCTAGCTGATGGGATGCAGGTCAGGCATGCTGGCCCACCAGCTAAACCTGCACCAAAACACTAAATGTGCTGGTAACACCTATGCAGCAGGGAAGATGGCTGCTGAAAACACCTTTCCCATCCCTCTTCATATAACAAAATATAAACATTGGTTGCAGTAATGCTAACCTCAGAACAACAGTAGCTGGAGATACTGCTAATGCTAACCCGAGGAACTGCTAATGGTAGCTTGAGCTGCTGCTACAAAACCCTGGTGGTGTTGGGCGGTTGTGAAGGGAAGGGTTACATAATAACTGGAAGTGTAGGTGTGATCAAATAAGAGTGTTTTATTAACACAGGTAAATACTCAGTCCTTTTTGGAAAAGTAACGGAGACAACTAAAGTTCTACCTTTATGACTAAACAAAAACACACGCGACGACAGGAATAACACAAAACACCTGAGGTAAAACGTCTCAGGGAGAAAAAGAAAATGTTCTATTAATTTAAAATATGGGGTTACGGTGGCACAGGAGTTACGTAAGTGCTTGCCCCATAATCGGAAGGTTGCAGGTTTGAGCCCCGCTTAGTTTTTCGCAGTCATTGGTGTCCTTGGGCAAAACACTTAACCCCCCTTGCCTGCTGGTGGTGGTTGAGGGGCCAGTGGCGCCTGTGCTCGACAGCTGTGGCTACATTGTATCTCATCCCCACCAGTGTGTGAATGTGTGTGTGAATGGCTGAATGACTGATTGTTTTGTAAAGTGCCTTGGGGGTTCCAGGACTCTAGAAGGCGCTATATCAAACACAGGCCATTTACCATTCAATATAATATGAAAGTCGGAGATACAAACCAAAGGAATTATTTTTTATAAAAACGAAAACTAAACTCGATGGCTTTTAATTAATTTACCAAAATAAAAACCGAGCTCTGCATTAATAGAATAAAGACTAGAAAAAATAAAAAAGATTGCTGCAAAACCAGGGGATCACTAAATTCAATTTAAGCTCCAAGAGCAGAGAAAACAACCAACTAAGGAAGAAAATTAAAAATGGCTATCAAACAAAAGGATTTCACCAAATAAAAAACAACTAATTATCAAAAATACCAAAAGTTCTACTCAAACCTGTTACTAGTGAGATCCGAGGACAGAGGAGAGAAGAACAAGGTTTATTCTAGTTTTTTTAATCACAAATGTCTATTTTTGCTCATTTAAAATATAGTTGTAATCATTTTCTAAATGATTTTTTACGTTTTACATTTTTTGTTTTTGTGAAGCGCCTCGTGATTTTTATCAATTTTTTTGTGATTTTTATCTTCAGAGGCGCTATTGAAAATATTACTTCTTCTTCTTCTTCTTCTTCTTCTTTTTCTTACTTTTTTATGGCAGTTGGCAAACAACTTTAGAGTAACAGTACCACTACCCACTGGTAAGGAGTGTGGATCAAGACTTCCCTATCCTATTATTTCATAAAACAAAACAAAAAAAATTTAAATAAATAATTAAATGATTATTATCTACATCCTTGAGCTTAAACCAGTACATTTAAGAACTCTCAAAATTACTGGGTAACAAATACTGTCCCCCAACACCTCTGCTATTTCATACCTTACTTTAAGTTCTCCCAGAGTTAGTATCATAATGCTTCTTTCCAGTGTACATTTCTCACAATTAATCATAACATGATCAATAATCTCTTCCTGATTACAATAACTACATTTCCCATCAACATGCTTTCCTATTTTGAACAAAGAGCTATTTAAACCAGCATATCCTACTCTCAATCTTGATATTATTATATCTTCTTTTCAGTTTAAACCACCTTCCCTCATCCTACCAACATTTCTTTGTATTTCATAATACCATCTTCCTTTTCCCCCTTTCTCTCATTCTGCCATCTGTCCCTCAACTTCTGTTTAATGATACCTTTAATTCAATTTAACGAACCTAATTATTATTTCAATATTTTCATGTATAGTAGCTCTCATTGCTATTTTATCTGCCATTTCATTATCAATTACCCTAACATGTGCAGGAATCCACAATAAAATGATTTCAAGTCCCATCATCTCTAATCCATACAATGTCTGTAATATTTCTATCAAAATATCTGGTCGACTTTCCGAATGGTTATTAAGTAGACTGTACAAAGATGAACTAGAATCTGAATAAATTATTGGCTTAAGTGGTTTTATCTCCCCTATCCATTGCAAACCTAACTCCCCCAGACAGTGGCGGAGCTTGATATGTGCAACATGTGCGGCCGAACAGGGCGGCAGTCTGCAGGGGGCGGCATTTAATTTCCTTTTTTTTTTTTTCCTAAAAAAATTTTTTTTTAGCATCAACCAATACATAAACAAAACATAGAAATCGCATGTTCTTAATAATAATAGTGATGATAATAATATTTCTGTAATAAAAGCACAACAAAGTGTAACCCATATCAACTACTCCCTGTCACATGACCCACGTCAGCTGATGTGAGGTCCCTCTCCTGATTGGCTCCTTCCAAGTTGCGGCAACCATGAAAGCTGCTCCTGCCGTAAGCTTGTTGCTTGTAGAACGGTGTTGGAAAACAAAGCGTTTTTTCCCCCTCAATTCATTTATACTCTCATTTTACCTCAGCGGTAAGTGTTCTTAACATCTACCAATAACACCCTTTTACTTGTCAGTGACCAGTCGATCGTTTTCGCTATAAAAAAATGACCTTGTTCGGCGGAGTTCCCACCGCGAGCAGAACTCCGGTTCGAAAACGCTGTTTTTGAAACACTTTTATTTACTTATGCACTTTAATGGGCTTAACTTGAAACCAAGAGCAATCGAATGATTATTGTTATGTGTTGCCTTGAATTCGGCTATGCTGTCTGTCAGATAGTTGTTTTCCTTTATTGTTGTTTTTGTATTTGTTTGTAGCAAACGCTACTGGAATGCACAGATTGAGCTACGTAGCCAAGATGATTAATAATTGACCTGTTGTACATTCGTGATATGTTTACCGGTAAACTGAATCAAACTTGATGTGCTAATGAACATTTCTCTGGCCTACAGGTCAGGTTTTTTTTCCCCATGTTGAACAGGGGTATCTCGCACAGGGCGCCATTTAGGCCAGCTCCGCCTCTGCCCCCAGAGATCTAACAGCTGCTGTCCTATAATGCATCAGCTCTCATCAGCTGATTGCCTGCAGCTGGGGCGCTTAGAGCAAGCTGAGGAGGCCCAGCCTGACTGATGACCTGTCCAGGGTCCTGAAAATCAGGAAGGGTGAGGGCGCAGGCCTTGGCCCGGAAGCAGGAATCCAGGATCCTTAACCAAAAAAGTCTGGCTGTAAAAATTATGGACAAACTCTCCGTAACTTGACCTATGGGTTTCTGAAGAGCTGAATTGAAGCCCAATCTGGACTACAACCATTTTGACCATGTCACACATGTTGTCATGCCCAGACAATACAAAAGTGCGAAAAGAGGTGGACCTCAGTGCAAGTCACTGAGGATGTCAGCCAGCCATCACTCTCCCAGCTATGAGCTAACCAAAGCTAACAAAGGTTTACTGGCACTTTTAGCCAGAAAAACGTTCAGCAACTCTAACATGAAGCATGCATCAACTCTCTGAGCTGCTGTGTTTCTGTGGTCTCCATCAGGCAGCCTGACTAAAGCCTTGCATGAGAGTTGAGCGATCATGGCAGCCACCCAGCCACATAGCACAGCTGCCTGAGCTGCCCCCAGGAGGCAGTAGTGGCAGATTTATGGATCTCTGACCATGGGGCTGCTGCTGCTGAAGGAAGGGAGACAGTACTGAAACTCTGTCTCCTTCCCTTCTGCAGCAGCGATTTTATGATCTCCGACCACAGCACAGCCCGCAAACCTCCATTACCTCATTTGGCTCAACCCATTTTTGAGCAAGCAGCGTTATGTTGAATGCAAAGCATTTTACCGTATTCAACCAGCAAATGAAAGAATAGGAATGCAATTCATGTCCATGTTGGATGAGAGGAAAACAGCAAAATCTGAGCACACATGTAACATTCCAGGATAAACTGGGAATATTCACTCTTTGAATCAATGCCAGATAGATACAAAGCTTGCAGCCTTAGTCCATGTCCTTGTCCAAACACAACCCCTGCCCTGGAACCTGCCGGGCACTCACTTCCTTGTTCATCCACACATAGAGCTGTTGTGGTTATTAGCCAACAAATAGTTTGTAAGTTTTACTTACCCTTTGGATTCATCAATAAAATTCGTAAATATGGAAATATTTATCGATTCTATTACTTAATTAGGATATCCGTGGATATGCCTCAGGGCACCACCCCTTTTAACAGGGGAAAAATGAATCCAAACCTCTATCAATCTGTCTAAAGTTCGTAAAATTCTTTTAACGAGCGGCGGTCATATTCTATCCAACACAGACAAATTCACTTGAGACAAAACTTAATTGGCAATAACATTTATTAACTAATATAACCACCTCAGCTCCTCCAAGGCGCTAGCCAATCAACATGTCAACCAACTGGTTTTGCCAAACAAACAACAAGCAAGGAAACAATGGAATGATAATGTGAAGTAACAATCTAATCAGACCGGTGGGGTGAGATGGTGATGTAATCAAGCAATGGTGGGGTTGCTTGATGATGTAATCAGACAGAGATAGGCTGATTACCAGACTGGAGGGAGTTTTGAAAAACAAAATGGCGGATCCTTTGTTTGGTTGAACAAAGGATCGAACTAGGTGTGTGTGTGTGGAATTTAGCCTGACTTCCCAAACACGTATAATCAGCGGGCGTGGGCCCCCTGATCAGACGCGTATTTGGCGGTGTGAGCAACGTTCACAGTAAACTTGATCAAAACACTTCAAATCACTTCACAAAGCTCAAGAGAAAAAAATCAACAGATCAATCATAAAGGCAAATTAAATATCTAAACAGTCTGTCTGGCCTGGCCACAGCATAAACAAACTTAGATATTAAAACAATAAGAGAAACGGAGCTTACTTCAAGATGGTCCGTTGGCGTTTTTAGTACGGAAGAGAGAGACCGTCTATTATTTTAAAGCAGTCACGTGGTCGACCGCTTGTTTTGGACTATTAGAGAAGCGGGAGAGAAAGAGAGAGAAAAAAGAAAAATCTTGAATGAACGGACACAAGGCGCCTCTCTGTGTCCGGGGCTGAGCAGATCAGATGGTGTTGGTCCGTTGATCCCAGCAGCTAGGCCTCACACACACGCCGTCCGTAGCGGTAGGAGCAGAAGCTAGGGTCTCCTTACACCAGGTGAACTGGACAAGGGAGAGCGAGTTCCACTCTGCACCTCGGCTTTATAGACTCGTCCAGCGAGTGGTCTCTGTAGGGGCCGGTATCCACTGGACCAGTCAGACTTGGCGTCGCATGATGACGTCATCAAGCTGCTGCTGGCTGCGGAGGATCATGGGACATGGAGTCCCTGCTGGCGCAGATATTAATATGCTTTATTGTCTACGCTTCAGGGCGTAGATGGCACAGTCCTTTGGAGAAAATACTGCGTAGTAATTTTCTCATGAGGGCAGAACCCCAACAGAGCTGTCCACATCATAGAGTCATAGCATAACACACAGCTCATTTAATATTCATGTTCTGGCCAAAGCACTTGATTTACCAGTCAATCTACATTCCAACCCTCACCGTACAAGAGGCCAAAATTAGTTTTCTCAGCAGGGTGTCTGGGCTCTCCCTTAGAGAAAGAATGAGAAGCTCGGCAATCTGGGAAGGGCTCGGAGTAGATCTGCTGCTCCTCTACGTTGAGAGGAGCCAGTTGAGGTGGTTGGGCATCTAGTTAGGCTACCTCCTGGATGCCTCCCTGGTGAGGTTTTCTGGGCACATCCAACCTGGAGACCTAAAGGAAGACCCAGGACACGCTGGAGAGACAATGTCTCTCGACTGGCCAGGGAACGCCTTGGCATTCCCCTGAAGGAGCTGGCCCAAGTGGCTGGGAAGAGGGAAGTCTGGGCCTCCCTGCTTAAGCCGCTGCCCCCACAACCTGACCCTGGATAAGCAGCTGAAAATGAATGGATGGATTCTGGTCAAATGGGAAAGCCAGTAGGGCTTTATTGTGGGGGTGTATCTGACCATTTATCAAGGCTCCTGGGCCATCTTGAGCCCCAACAACAGTTTCATAAGCTAGTCAGAGGCTCAAAAAGCTCTTTCCATATGCAGCCTCCCTCCCCTCTTTCAAGAACAGCTTTAATGCAGCAAAAACTCAAAACTACCTTTGTGTCAATAATTGTCAGGTTATGCTAATCAACACGTCTCTGTCTGTTGATTTATGTGCTTTGCTGCTCAGCGGGCTTACATCAGGGTAGACAAGTGCAGCTCTGCACCCCTCTGCTTTATTTGCTTTATTTCATCAGAGTGAAAGCAATACCATCTCTGTTGATCTTTTATTGTAAAAAATGACTTAATTATGTTTGAAATGAAGATGTGTTAAGTGTCCTGACAGACCACACATAATATTTTTGGCCGAGTACACAGCTAGTTCTTGGTAATGAGTAATGTAAAAGCCAGGAAAAAATCTTAGGGTTTCTCTCCTAAAAATTTTAATGATCCTCTCTTTCCAACTTTTTTGTATAACTCCCTCCATACGAATCGACTCTTTTCATCCCACTTGCTTGTTAGTGCTTCCTCTAGGAAGACCTGCTACTGTTAAAATCTTCAGTCTGTATATCTTTGTGTGTGTGTGTGTGTGTGTGTGTGTGTGTGTGTGTGTGTGTGTGTTGATGACTAATGTTCAGGGCAGTGTCACACATTGATTTAGCAGTTTGGCTACGTTGCTTTGGGACAGTGATGCGTGTCCACCACTCATGAAGCTGTGACGACAGCACTCCTGAATTTTTCAGCATATATATTTTTATATACGAGTGTGTATTAGAGTGTGCTTCTGCCCTCTGCTCTGCTCTTCCCTGCAAAAGCATATTGACACCGAGTGATACAGCAGTCCTTCTCTTCCCCCTTATCCTCAAATGTATCCTGTTTAACTTCATTACTGCGTCTCAGCAAAAGTCTGCATATCTCATCTAGTCGACAACCACCGTGAGGCATCTTTGTGACAAGAATTTGGGAGAACATGAAAAAATCTCAGCAAAATCAGTGCTTGTCTGTTTAAAGGCACAGCAGCGCAGTAATCGCAATTCTGCTTTTTTAAAATCCTTTGGACGTCAAAAGATGCTATTTCTTGCCTGAATTCAAACACTGCTTGACCAATGTTTAGTTTTGTTTTATACTTTTCTGTATAGAAAAGAAGAGAAATTTTTCTTTACCGAGCCCTCCTGTCCTTCTCTATTTCCACTTGACTCATCCATCAGCCGGTGCAGGGGTTTGACTACGCCAAGCAACACCTAGGACAGCAGGGAGGAGATGAGGAGACGCTGCCCATCAGCCAGGACACTTTAGTGATGTCCCTACAGATGCGGGACACGTCACTGTCACTAGAGAAAGCTCTGCAACAAGATGGGATGACCAACAAAAGAAGCCTCACAACTGAAACACACAGAAGGTACCACAGCTACATAGTTCAATTTCACTTTAAACTCCGGGTTACTTCATAATAAAGGAAATGTAAAGTTTAACATAACAAATAGCTGTTTAAAAGATGTTGTTTAATCTCTGTGGATTATTTTAGGACACTAAAATATTAGGTTTAAAGCCTCCAGTCTTGCTCTAATATAAATTTGATTTAAATGGAATCAAATAGTAATTTCTCCTTTTTCTAAAGAAAGTTATTAGCTAATAGTAGAAACTCCCCTGGGTCTTCTTAAAGCTGTTGTGGCAAATTTGGAAAACAAGTTAGCTTAAAACATTTTTTCATGTCTCCCAACAACATTCTAACATGGTATAGCTATAAATATATTGTAGACATAAATAAAATGAAAAAAAAAATTGTGTTTCTCTCACATTTTTTCAAAAACCTCTGCCAATTACACGCTTCGGACCTCAAGCAACTATAGTATCTCGGGGTCTTGTTCACGGGTGAGGGAGAAAAGGAGCGTGAGATCAATATGCAGAGTGGTGCAGCATCTGCAGTGATGCAGGCGTTGTACCGATCTGTCGTGGTGAAGAGAGAGCTGAGCTGTAAGGCGAAGCTTTCAATTTACTGGTAGATCTACGCTCCTACTCCCACCTATGGTCACGAGCTTTGGGTAGTGACCGAAAGAACGAGATTGTGGATACAAAAGGAGTTTTATCCGCAGTGTGTCTATGCTCTCCCTTAAAGATAGGGTGAGAAGCTCTGTCATTCGGGAGGGGCTCGGAGTAAACCCGCTGCTCCTCCACGTCGAAAGGAGCCAGTTGAGGTGGTCAGGATGCCTCCTGGATGCCTCCCTGGTGAGGTTTTCTGGGCATGTCTAACTGGAAGGAGACTCAAGGGAAGACCCAGGAAACACTGGAGGGACTATTTTTCTCAGCTGGCCAGGGAACACCTTAGGGTTCCCCCGGAGGAGTTGGCCCAAGTATCTGGGGAGAGGGAAGTTTGGGTCTCTCGACAGGCTGCTGCCCCAGCGACCTGACCCAGGATAAGTGGATGAAAATGGATGAGCAGATAAATAGATCGTGCTACCAATGGCACGTTCACACTACAGGTCCTATTGCTCAGTCACCATTTTTTGCTTAGATCTGAGTCCTTTGTGATATTGTTGGGATTATAATTTAAATGTAATCATGGTTATGTTTATGGGAGTAAATTTGGATGCTACACGTTAGTATGTAAACCTTCACCAGTGCAGAATGGTGCAGTCAGTCACATTTCAATGACAAAAGTTATTAATGATTAAATGAGAAATGACCATTCAAACTGATGTTGCTTTGAAAAACATCAAATATGTGTCTGATTTAGGATTTTGTTCTGACTTCAGCTTTAAGTGTGAAAGAAGCCATGATGTTAGACAGCCAGGACAGAAAACCCACGTTCTGTGTGATTGGAGACATTCCAGCTTTCATTTAGAGTAAAATAAACGTTAGACGTCAGACTCCATTTGCTGGAAATGAGAAATACCTTTCTGAGATGATCTGTGCATTAAAAAAAATCACATCTGTTATGGTATTGGGCATAGACATCCTTGGCACAGGTAATCTGCACATGCATGAAGCTTCCACTGAAGTAGAGGCACAAACTGGAGATTTTGTGGAGACACGTACTTCCATCAAGGCAGCGTTTAATCTAAGAATGTTGTTCATCCTAATACAGCTCCATCTGGCAGGATGTACGCTCGAGAACGCCATCATTTTTAAAAAAATTTCTGAAGGGTAATTTTTTAGTTAATGAACTTAACTAAACTAGCACCAACTTTCAAACAAAGCTTCAATGGTGAATGGAACAAACAGGAATGATAAAAAAATAAAAGTATGTTCATATTGACCACTTGACACAGGAGACAATGGTGAAGGTGGAGTTATGTTAGGGAGGGATGACATAACCTGCTTGCGAGCCCAGAATCCTGAGAGCTCACCACCTTTCCTGTTGCTATGGTTACTTGCAGCAAATTGCCAAGTGAAGACGGTTCCGTCATCAGCAACGAATCAGAGAAGCCTAATCCCGGCAGGGGACTGTCTGTGTCGAAAGTCACAGCGCAGCAGAAACTGACAAAGGAGGAGACCCGGACACGGGACGGTGAGACGTACAGAGATGCAAATACTAATGGTCTGTGTTCCTTCTGCTCTGGAGACGAGGTCAGATGTGCACTTATTCACCAGTGCATAAAAAAAGTTAATCACTTTCCCCTGGTTAGTTTGTAATGCATGCAGGTGCCTTTAAGGAAATGCTCTGGCGGTGTAGACTTTTTTATAATCACAAAAGGTAGGCGCTCAGCTTTAAGGAGAGCTGGACTGGATGAATATGCATGAGACAGACACTCTGCTGAGATAAAACTGGATGCTGTGACACAGTAGCACACTCCTCCTCACTCTCTCTCTCTCTCACACACACACACACACACACACGCACGCACGCACGCACACACACACACACACACACACACACACACACACACACACACACACACACACACACACACACACACACACACACACACACACACGAAAAAGTACAAAAAGACCTCATGAACTTTCACAACTTGTACATCTGTCCAAACAGTAAAACGCATGACGATTCTGAGTAAAGTCTCATTCTGCTTTAGTCCTCAGAGGCTAAATGCTCCTCATGTGGAGGGCATGAGGTGGTGTTTAAATTCATCTCATTTAAACGCTCCCTTTAAATTGAATCGAGTTTGCCTGATTATAATTTTCCGAACGAGAGGATTTGAATAATTCATTAGATGAATTAAAAAGGGAACTGGAGCCGAATCCAGTTTGTCTGGTGCTGGGCTAAGAAGGAAAGTGCAGAGTCAGTTTTCTTTCATTCGTCACACTGCCAGAGCCTCAGAAGCCAAAGCTGTCTTTGTGATCTATTGTCTTTTTCTGCTACTTCATTTGCCGAGACAGAAGGCCTTTATTTATCCACAAGGTGCTGGAGGTTTGTGGTGAGAGGGAGGTCAGGCAGCGTGTGACACTTTCTTGGCTTTTTGATCAATAATGTAACATTTATAGGTACTTGTGGTCCTTTTGTGAACTTCTGTTCTTCAGATCCATACGATTCCTCCTCTGGTTCCCTGCAGCTCGTTTCCATAAGGCCCGTGACGGCTCAGACTAACGGCTCCCAGCTGGTATCTTCTGACCGCAGTAAGGACTCTGTCCTCGCCAATGGAGAGGTAAAGCGCACGTGCACACACACACACAGAAAAAGTTTGACTAATAAAAATGGCTGAGTCTGTCTGTGCACAAAAGATCACAACATGCAAACATATTTAGGTGCAACTTTTATGAACAGTATTCTCTATTTTAGGATTTCAGCTGGAGTTAGGGAAAAAATGTAAACCCTTGATGTTGCTGCTTTTGGCAAATGCATTAGTCTTGATTTATTTTATTTGTAAAATACAACCTAATCAGGTTCAAATTAAAGAATGAGAGGCTCTGATAATACGTACAACTTTTGTTTTTTCAAAACTTGGGTCATCACTTGCTGTGTTTCATTAATGTCAGCTTCTGTCTTTTTCCCGCATCTAAACAAAAGTGATCCAGTTCTGTAAGAAGTCATCTGTAGAGCCCTGCACTGAAGCCCTAGGCCCTCGGGTCGGCCCGGCCCGGCCCGACGGCCCGAGGGCCGGGCTTTGGGCCAACGACTGTGTAATTACCTCGGACACGGGCCGGGCGCCTTTATTTTTAATCGAATTCATAAAAAAAAACTTAAACACTTGAACGCAGCAGCACCTGCCTGCTTCTCACGCACCGTTAGCTCAGTTAAGGTCTGTGTGGTTTGTAAATGCGCCTATATAAACGAATTCTCAAACTGCTGATTGAAACATGTGCCCCTATTCTAATATGCCATTTTATGTCCACTTTGATGCCAGAAACCATTTGTTTATTCTTATGAAAACAGCAGCATTCGATTTTTCTGTGAATAAATTCGCTCTGCAGTTAAAAAAAATTTTTCAGAGCGGCAGATTAAATTTACAAACTCGATATTAATTGGGAACGTTTATTTAATCTGCCGCTCTGAAAATGCACTCTGCAGTTAGATAATTAGAATGCTGCTTTTTTTCTAATTGCACAAGAGCGCATTTTCAGAGCAGATTAAATTTACAAACGCATCCAATTAATATAGTGTTCGTAAATTTCATCTGCCGCTCGAAAAATACGCTCTGTTAGAAAAAAAGCTGTATTGATGCCGTTTTTCTTTCTTTTCTTTTCTTTTCTTTTCTTTCTTTTTTTTTTACTGCAGAACGCTTCTCACAGATAATTAGAATGCTGAGCATTCCATCACGCTAAAACATTATGAAAGGTTAAAAAAAAAGTCTGGCTCGGGTCGGGCCAGAGAATCCTGAAAACCTTTTCGGACCGGGTCGGGCTGGGGCTCCACCCCTTCGGGCCGGGCCGGACACGGGCTCAGATTTTAGGCCCGTGCAGGGCTCTAGTCATCTGTGCCATGCCACCATTCTACCTTTAATTATCCTACAAGCGCCCTTGCAAAATCTAATCTAATGGATGCTTTGCTTCTTGCTTTAAACCAGTTTAGGGTTTTAGAATTCTCCTCAAGGCTGACATAGATGTTGTACCTTATAACTCTGACAGATTGAATTTGTCTTTGTGGGAAAATAATTAGTTTAATTGCATTAAAAATGCTTTAATCACAGATTTACATCTTCTATTAAGAATGTTCTCACTATAAACTGGGCTTACAACTCTGTACTCTATTTAAGTCAAAAGTGCAGAATAACAGAGTTTTGGAAAGAAAAAGAAAAACACTTTAATTTATAAAATAAAATAATGAAGAAGCTCAAAGAGACATTAAGTGAGGTGAGCAATTGGAAGCTTATTGTTTTAATCCTTAAAAAGGACCAGAGGGCTTTTTAACTGATGGGATTGTGATTACTGAGTGAAGGCAGCTGGGATGATTAACAGAACAGGTGTGCAAGGTGTTGAGTAACTGGAGAGCTGAGGGAAACAGTTACACAGCAAACTAAACAGGTAGAAAATAAAACACAAAAACTCCACAGGTTCAGAGAAGAAGAAGAAGAAGAAGAAGAAGAAGAAGAAGAAGAAGAAGGTGTATTTGTGTTACGCCTTTCAAGATAAAATGAAAGGCACTTACAAGCAAAACAAAAAAATTGACAATGATACAGAATAAGAAAATTAAAATGAAAAACAACTTAGAGAACCCAAAACCATAAACCACTAAACCCTAATAACATAAAAAGGCTCAAAGATATCAGAAACTGAAGAAAACGCTGTAAAACAAATACTTTCCTGGAGTTTAGCTTTTGATCTACCTGTATTATGTTTTCTTTTTCATCGGTCTATCATCTCTGCAGGTTATCTTGGCGTTAAAGCAGAAATCAGACATAGAGCACTACAGAAACAAGCTGAGGCTGAAGGCCAAGAAGAAGGACTATTACGATTTCCACTCCACCAATGGCAGCAGCAACGGGGGTCAAGCCCTGATGCAAAAACAGCAGAACGGCTATGAGAGGGAAGCCGGTTCTCACGGCAGACCTCTGGAGCCTGATGATGAGCGAGGTTCCACATATGTCAAGTCTCACAGGAGGTGAGGGGGGGGGGGGGGGGGGGGGATCAGTAGAGCCTTGGTTTGGTTTCATACGAAAGGAACCCAGCACAAGAAGCTTTTTCATGGATGCTTTGTAACATTTTTCAGGTCCTGACATCGTTACACAATTTTACTTACCCCTTTTTTACTTAATAATGTCAGGTACACCTGCAGGCAGCCTGGTGCTACTGACTAATTTTATTTAAATGTTTGTTTATGTTCCTGAAAAACATTTGCTTAGTAAACAACATAAACATTATTGTCAACGTACATTTCTCTTTTTTTATCCTTTTTGTATATTTAATACTTAGTTTATTGATTTAATTCATTAATTTAGGTTAAATATTTGATTTAAAGTCCAGTAAACAAAATTGAAGAGACGGTTAAATTCAGTGCTGAAAAACTGATCAGTCTCAGAAATGTTGCATCCACAGTTATTAGGTTATAAAACGTTTAGATATCGGCCCAAAGAAATTGACAGCCCACATCAGCCATTGGTTGTCCATTACCATGAAGTACAAATGTCTGCAATCATTTGTCCTCTACACTGATTGGTCTCTTAAGGTGTCTTCGTCCTTTAAAGGTAACACATGAAATATTTTACTGTGAAATAATAAAACAGTCTAATGCAGTGGTTCTAAATCCTGCTCCTGGAGGGCCAGCATCCAGCTTATTTCCATTGTTCCTCTGCTCCAGTACACTTGATTGAGTGGTTGAATCATCTGTTCAGCAGATCATCAAGCTCTGGAGAAGCCTATTAATCACTTGCTGATTGAAATCAAGGGCCTCGTGCATCAAACATTTGTAGAAAAATTCCTAAATCCTTTCCTATGAATGAAATTTAGAATGTTCGTACGAACAGTCAAAATCCTGATTTATGAAACATGCGGTGGCGTCTTGTACGCACGTTCCTCTGCACACGTCTGGTGATAAATCCCACCTGAGCATACCCAGGTGCCCGTGTCTGTTCTCAGTCATCCATATACGCAGTCGGGACCGAGGAGAGGTTCCTGCCAGGAATGAATACAAAGTTTATTGTGGTAACTCATAGAGTAGCGGGTTGTTTACATTTTACATTTCAGGAGTCGTTCTGGATGGAGTTAGTTTTCATTTGGAAATTTCTGAGAGTGCGCAGCCTCTTCTGAACTGTCATTCAGTCTAGTTGCCTTGGCAACGCGTGTTTGATCGGGGAGCGGAGGAGGTTCCGGGGGGTTCTCGTAGTTGTAAAATAGAATATACTGGAATCAGATTTGTGCGGTTTCGCTCCACAATGGGTCCCAAATCACTTCATAGCTCCAAAAGAATCTCCCGTCAGTTTCTCACGGAAACGCGTTTACTCCAGAGAGCATTCTCTGACAAGCCCTTAAAAATAAGAAGAAACAATCTTTTATCTAACACATCAAGCAAAACCATGAGGCGTTTCACAAGGGAAAAAATGTAATGTAAAATAAATTAAATTAAAAAAATATTAATTAAAAATGATTTAAAACATCATAAAAATGGGAGGAGCGACAATTGTTATTATAAAAAACAGGACATCCATTCTACATGTCAGATTCCCGCCGGGTGTTTTAGCACCCTGTTACACAGCTGTTTTTCCACTGAAATAATTACTTATTGGGTAAAATCATTTGTGGATGAGGAACATGTGTGGATGACTGAGACCGTCAGTGTTGCGGTTCCCCCGTTCTACCACTAGATGCTGTTCCTACTCATGGTCTGAAGTTTTCCTATGTTTAGGAACATTTCCACACACAGGTACAAAATGATGAATACGACACAACGCGTAAATTAGTTCCTACGCATGATATACGCACAGATCTGTGCATAGGTACGGTTGATACATGAGGCCCCAGGTGTGTTGAAACAGGGTTAAAACTAAGAGATGCTGGATACCGGCCCTATGAGACCAGGATTGAGAACCACTGGTCTAATGTCTCAATCACGCTGAAATGAAGGTTACATTCAAACAGATTTCCTTCTTAGCTGGCTGGGGCTTGCCACAGAATCCCTTCTCCTCTAGCGTAGCTGCTACTTACCACAGATTTATGGGTTTTTTCCTCCTGACGGAAGGATTTGAAGTTTGCTGAATTGTACAGCCATTTTCCCTTTGTTTTTCTCCGTGTCTGTTTCATGACGTCACTTTCGTGATGCACATTTTCACACAAAACCTAAAATAGTGTTTAGACAATCAGCACTTTCTTGTTATCTAAATGTGCCTTTATTATGCAGAATTAGAAAATAGCGTTTTTAGTCCCAATGACTTGCATTCATTTTTTCGTTCTTCCATGGACTCGTGGTCTGGAAGTAGATGGGCGTGACTTAGGCTCCCTATGTGCTTGATTGTAAAGGGGAGAAATCCAACAGGCAGGCCGTGGCATGCTAGTGAAGAAGCTTATCTGAAAGGTGAATTTGTCAATTTATTAGTCAGTCCATTTCAAAGTGAAAAAGATAACGTGGTCAGCAATAAAAGAGGCCAGATAAAGCTTCCTCCCAAGGGTGGCTTGGCTCACATCTTCCACTGGAAAGAGGAAGATTCAGCACTCTAAATTATCTTAGATAGCCCGCCATCTTGATTTATCCTCAGGAGAGCTGGGAAAGGTGGCTGAAGCGGTCAAATGATAGTCGAGCATCTTCACAATCAGGTCTCGGAAAGGCCATGGAAAATTAAGGAGTATTTTAATAAACCAATAGTTTAAAAACAGATTTTTGTTTTGCTAGTGAAAATTATAGGCAAAAATAATCAAAACTACAGATTTTCCTGGAGAGTCGTGAATTTTACATGATCAGTTTTGTCTTGAAGAAGAAGAAGAAAATATCATTTCTATCGCGCCTCTCAAGATAAAAATCATGAGGCGCTTCACAAAAACAAAAAATGTAAAAATATAAAAAAGCATTTAGAAAATGTTTAAAAATATTTTTAAAATGAGCAAAAATAGGCAATTGTGATAAAAAAATGTTACGAAAGAGAGAAAGTGAACAGGAAAGAGGGAAATCATAGAAATCATAGAGAGGGTTGGATAGCCTTTGTTTTATTTTCCAAAGCTAACTTTTCATTCCACTGTCCTCCTGAGATAAAATACCTATTTTGTTTGTACCACAACTGCCTGTACCTTTTCCTCTGAGACTCCATTTCTTTTCCTCATGTTATTCATCACACTTGGTGCAATAAAACCAATCAGGTTTTTGTACCATCTTTCACTGCAGGTGCGTGGAAACTGAAAGAGTAGTTTCAACACTTTGAATCAATGTTTCCCTGGACTGCAGGTTTGACTTGTGTTAAATCCACACTTTTACTCTAATTGGCAGACAATCCCAGGTAGGGCAGATGGCCTATCGCAGCAGACAAAGCTTAAGCAGTCCGAGCCCTGGAGGAACAGAGATGGACCTGCTCGTAATGAGAGAGAGGCCCAGAAAAGGCATCCGCAACAGTGGCTATGATGTAAGTCGTCACCCACAAACCCTTCCTGTCCAAGCAGATCTGACAATTAACAATAAACGAGTTAACTAGTTTGTGTTGGCGACAAAAAACAAAATTGCCACGGTGTGGAACAATTCTGCCTATCCAAACCAACTGTGATAAACACATATTACAGATAATCATTAACTTTTGTGTGTACGCAAGTTTTCCTTCTTGTGTTTCTGTTTATAGTTCTTGGCCTGAGCTGCTTGACAAGGTTCATTTAGCACATTTTAAACAGCTTAGGAAGAAGTAATTAGAAAATATACATAGTAATTAAAAAGAAAGACTTTGAGTGCTACCATATTCCATTATGTGATTAAACGCAAACACATTTTTAACACTTTGCAACAGAGCAAACAGTGCAAGTGCTGGGATGCTAATGCGAGACAAAAAACACGCACAGAGTACTTTTACATCAATGAAAACAAACCAAAAGAAAGTAAATTCAAACTTTTACGCTATAATTGTTACTCATTACACGCAGTGCTCAAGTAACATTTTCTCCAATTACTTTTTTACTCTTTTTTTTTTGTACCACTTCATACAAGCTACCCACCTGTAGTCCAAAGCCTTTTTTTTGTCCAGCTTTAGATAGGCATGCTGTTTGGCCGGACTTCCAGCTGGACCCTTTTGTTTACACCGCTGACTCCTGTGTAGCTCCACATCTGTCAGCGTTGCTTGCATCAGCTCGTCGTTCTCTGGTGTTGGACCCATCCCACTGGCTAAATGTGCAAACATAGGTGCCACCCTTTATCTGCTCCATACTTCCACCACTTTGCTTTGTCTATCTAAAGTTTGGCCATTTCTCTTTCCAGCTGTGTCATATTGTCGAGGATCTTATGTGGCTTTGTTAAATGGATAAAAAAAATGGCCCCTCCAACATCTGCTCTGGGTATCTAGGGTCCGGTTTGCACAACCCCCAACAGCGGCGCTTAGTTCCTACCCGTTTCCATATCTTTATGACATTAAACGGCAACTTTGACAAGTGGAGCGACTCAGACCTATAGGCACCCATGCAAAATGCAGGCTTGTTAGTCTAGGGCTACATCCCAGAATGCATTGCAATGTTGCATCATGATAGCTACTGTAAAGTACACTATTCCTCTGCTTTAGATTACCTGCAACAAAATAACATTCGTTATGATCTAGTCCTGTTGTACAGTCCATCTGTCATGAATTTTGACTAAAAGTACAGATTTTTTGTGTTCGGTTGTATAAACAAATAACTAATACATATTAGGATGGATGTTTGTTTTATCCCTCTGCAATTAATGTGCATAAAATTATTTAGCCTTGAACTCAGATCATTGTTCCAGAGAACAACTGGTTCAAAACAACACTGGAACTTGGACATATTTGAATGGTTTGAGTTATCTTAGATGGTGCTGTGCCTTTTAACTGATGGGTACAGTTACAATGAGCCCTTATGTGGAGTGTTATTGCCCTTGTCCTACAATGGCAAGTCAAATCAAGTCTTTGGCTAACCCAGTCACCAAAATAAACCTCACCATAAAATGACCAATACGCTATTTGTGCCAGAACTTCCAGATTTTTTTTTATTCTACTGTGACTCTGTCTAGGTTTGCATTGAGGTTAAGCTGTTTGTACCAAGCTGTTAAAGCTCGGCTGGAAATGTGGTACAGTAGCCAGAACAAGGTGACATGTTCTTTTGAATAACTTCTGGCCCTGTTAAATACAAAGGGAAGGGTCTGGCTGTGGATGTAAGTGTCTGCTTTTTCATGTTCCAGGAGGGCTGATTTATGAGGTGCACTACGCTACGTCTCCTGTGGCTGCCCTCTTTTCACACAGGAAGTAGGGCAGTCTCGAATTGTATAAATTTGTCACAGAGTTCACAAACATTAGATGGACACTATGGAAAAAAGAAGGAAGGAGATTGAATGAGAAGAAGTCTAATAAAATATAAAAATACAATCAAACAATCTGCATTTAATTCAATTAAATTAGATGTTTTTGTCATTGTACATGCTCTTTGACTTTCTTGTCCAGGATTAGAGGCGTATGTGTTTAGTCTGATGTGTTGTGGTGTTTTATCCCACAGACTGAGCCTGAGCTAATTGAGGAGACGAACGTCGACCATCTCATGGGGCCGCGGAGGTACACGTTCGGTCGAGGATTAAAAGGCCACTCGGAGACGTCCACTTTGAGCTCCCAGCCATCCATCGACGAAGTGCGACAGCAGATGCACCTGCTGCTGGAGGAAGCTTTCAGCCTGGCTTCTGGGGGGCAGTCCACAACCGGAAGGCACCCCCACCACCAGCAACACCCCTCTGATCACTACAGCTCAGCACCGCCTCCTCTGACGTACTCAGACATGGTGACCAGTGTTCCGGGCACAATGAGCTCTGGGCGTGGCGGTCTGCAGTGGGTACCATCCTATGGAGCAGATGTGTATGAGTGCAGCCTGCCTAAACCAGTAAGTTGGCTAAGTTTTAAACAACTGTCCTATGTCCTACAGCTGAGGATCGTTTACCTGAAAAAGCTTTTTATGTCTTTTCAAGGCCTTTCGTTTCACTCAGCTTCCTGAGATGGCCTTGGCCTCTCCTCCTCCTCTACCGCCTCGCACCGGGCCTCCTCCAAAAACCTCTTTAAGACGGTAAAAGCTGAACACAGACACATATTTTAGATGCAAGGCCAGAAAATGTTATTTAATTCACCACAACTTTTTAAATTGGGCTATTTTAAGTGATTTTCTAATTTGTAGCCAAAGAAAATGGCAACATATCAGAAATGTATTAGATCTATAGAAGCTTTTAATCATATATTACCAGCAGCAAATCTCATCTAAAGTTGCTTTATAAGGTTATTGTAGAGATACACTCAACACTTCCCCATTCAGCAGAATCATGGTGGGCAGGAACCAAGAAACTCGATGAAATCAGTCTAAACTTGACAGCTAGCTTACAGCTGGGTGTTAGAAAGAAAAACGATGAGCAATGAGATTACTGCACAGCACACACAGATTTAGACAGCATAAACTGCTGCATGACTTAAAAGTAGTTTTTATTTCATCACATCAAAATTCATGTTCAGGGACTGTGAGGAGGATGTGTTGTGGCCAGGGTGATTTAACGCCCTGTATGGTGTTTTTAAGTGTATTAGTTTAGGAGTAGTGGTAAGAATGTTACAGTTTTTTTTCGATTGCTAAAACATGTTTTTCAAAACTGTACGTTTCTTTCAAAACTGCACACACAAAACCCCAAACATAACACACAAATTCCTAAACTGTGGCTTCCCTTTGCAACAAAACCCTGCCATCACATATCTTAACATGTTCCCAAAATGGAACACGTGTTTTAATTTGGTAAACACAGCCACATTTTCACATGACACACACATACCATTCATTGCTAAACACAAGTAGCCTTCGGGTGAACACTACCAAGCATGGAAAGAACACTGAAGAGCAAAACTGAAAACACAATTGTCTAAATGGAACACTATGAATTACACACTGCATGTATGACAGTGCCCACTTTTCTCTGAGACAAACATTAGACATCACACACATTTTGAGACAAACCATTTAATTTTTACAGTTAACCCCCCCCACACACACACACACACACAAATTTTGAGACAAAACATTTTATTTTTACAGTTAACCCCCCCCACCCCCACCCCCACCCCCAGCATAATCATGGGGCATCATGCCTCCGGTCTCTGGCCAGAGGGCTTCATCAGCATCACAGGCGATGTCCTCCTGGTCCAAACAGCACTGGAAATACCACCTCGAATGCGTCATAAAGCCCTGACAGGCCTCAAAGGCCACATCTCTACAAGCCTCCTCCATGGCTTGAAGCAGTGGGACCTGGCTCTGTGGATTCCTTTCGTACACCTTCCACCTCCAGGCTGAGAAAAACTCCTCAGTGGGATTGAGGAAGGGGGAATACGGTGGAAGGTATAAAATGGAAAACCGTGGGTGGTCCTGAAACCACTCATACACCTGGGTAGCCTTATGGAAACTTACTTTTATGCTGCAGTCCCTGATTGCAAATTGCTCGCCAGACCCGAAAGTTTAGAGATTTGAATATTTGTGTGTTGTTGATTGAAGCTATGAGAATTTCTGTGAGAAGTGTGTGCAAACCTGAAATTGAAATCAGAGTGTACAGGAGGAAAATCAGAGTTCTAATATGATAAGGAAATGTTAAGTAGTGATAAATTGAGTCAAGCGATTGGGAACAGAAGTAGAGGTTGTGAAAATGTGCCTCATTTTTGCTTTTTGAGTTTTAGCAATCAAAAAAACTGTAATAACGTCTTCATGTTACACATGCAGTGTGTCTGCCATCTAGTGGTGTGTTATGTCTTTTTTTTTGTCTGATTTCTCTGCGACTCAGTTCTACGTCTGATTTGGGGCCTAAGGGAAGAAGCTCGGAAACATCTGTCACTGAAATGCGGAGTCAACATGAGAGCAACCCATATGGGCCAACAGTTAGAGCAGCCCTTCCACCTATTGCTGCAGAACAGCCTGTGACAAACTACTCAGGTATGCATGAAAGGATGACTTAGACTTTCACATAAAACACATTATTAGGTTTTTTTTTTAGACTTAATAGAATATTTGTGATAAACTAATCAATGATAGCCTCTCTTTTCTCTTTAATAGGAAACCCAATAACTGCTGTGTATGCCATTCCAGCCACCAGGCCTGGCTGCTCAGAGTACTTTGTCCCAACATCACCCACATCCTACCACAGTCCCTCTTGGATGTCCTATCCACCAGAACCTGAAGATGTTCCACCACAGTGGGCAGACTCTGTAAGCACTCTCTCTCTCTTTTCATAACTCTAGTTGACACTAAAGATGTTTATTGTTTCAGCAAGCACATGTTCTACTGCTTATAGTTTCATATCTTCACCAGTTTTTACATGGAATCAAAAGCATAATTGAATCTTTTAAAATATGTTTGTAGATTATTTATTAAAAGTGGCTGATCTGGCCTCTATTTTTGTGGACTTATTCCTGATTGCTGCCACCATATTGGCTGGACTGCTCACTGCTCAGGGTTTAGAGTAAGTTAATGACTGGATGCAGTCAAACTTCCTTCAGGTAAACAAAGACAAGACTGAAGTTATTGTCTTTGGAAATAAGAAGGATAGGATTGAGATTACTTCTCAACTTGGTTCCAGAGCAATTAAGACTCTGGTTAGAAATCTTGGTGTCATAACTGATTCATGCCTGAGCTTCACTGGTCACATTAAGGCCATCATCTTCATCTAATAGCACGACTCAGAGGTCTCATGTCCAGACAGGAACTAGAGAGACTCTAGCCTGCCCTGTCAGACTCGTCCTCTCTTTCATTCTACACAGAGAGCTTCCTATAAGGAAGCATGGGGATGGCTGGCCAGGCTGGAGAAACTCATTCATGCGTTCATCTCCAGCAAACTGGACCATTGCAATGGTCTTTTGTCTGGTCTTTCCAAAAAAGCTGTGAAGCCACTGCAGCTTTACAGAATGATGCTGCCAGAATATTAACAAGAACCAAGAGAACCGAACACATCACTCCTGTTCTTTTTTTAAAGTTTATTTTCATTTATTCACAAATAAAAACAAAACACAAAACAGGTTTGCAAAAACAAAAAATTGAAAAAGGAACAGAAAGAAGCCGAACTTATGTTATCTCTTCCCCTTAACCAAAATAAATACGAATGACAACAAAGTTATTAAAGTTAAAAAGTGTCTGAACTGGTTTACTGTTTTAACTTTGGCCAAAAATGGAGAGAAAACAAATACCCACGTACAAAAAAAGAGTTTTCTTCTTATATTAATGAAAGGAGAAAACAATCAATGCAAAACAAAACACACAAAAAAATAATAGCTAAAAAGAAACAAAGTAGAACATACTATGCGTGTGTTCCCTTTCATTCTCTCTACTTCATAAATATATCTCAATACAATTCAATTCAATTCAAAGATACTTTATTAATCCCAGAGGGAAATTAGAGTTTCAGTACACACAATTCTGAGATCAGACATACATACATAGGCATAGACACATATCAGTTAAGCATTTCATTTTTTATATGTTTATTAAAGGTATATATTGTTTTGGTATTCTTGATTTCGGTACTTAATTTATTACATATTTTGACTCCATATTTTGATACACAACGTTCTTTTATATTTATTCTATGTTTTGGTATTGTGTATGTTTTAATGCCTTTCAAATCATAACTACTCTCTCTTTCCATAAATCTTATAATAATTGATTTAGCTATTTTAGTTTTGATATTGTTTATATGTAGTTTCCAAGATAAATCCTCATAAGTGATGACTCCCAAACATTTCACTTCCTTTACTATTTTAATACAGATTTTGTCTAATTTTATTAATGTTTTTATATTCAACTTTCTATTACTGAATATCATAAAATATGATTTATCTGTGTTCAATGAAAGCTTATTCCCATCAAACCATAACTAAATTTTTTCCAACTCTGTATCACTTCTATCATTTGATCAACATCGTCTCCTGAATAATAAAAAGTTGTGTCATCAGCAAATAAGATACACTTTAACATATTAGATGTAGAGACAATATCATTTAAATAAATAATAAATAGTTAAGGGCCTAGTACCAACCCTTGTGGTACTCCACAAGTAATATTATCCAGATTGGCTTTAGTGTTGTTTATTTGAACGTACCCTGTCATGTAAATAACTCGTTATCCATTTTAGGGCTGTTCTGTTATGCCATATTTACTGTTATTTTTATAAGAATGTCATGATCTACTGTATCAAATGCTTTTTTTAGGTCAATGAAGATACTTATCAAATGGTTCTTTTTGTCAATGGCTTCTGTTAATTCCATTAGTGCCATTGACGTTGAGCGATTAGGTCTAAAACCATACTGACTCTCATTTAAAATATTCTCTTTGTTCAGGAATGCGTCCAGTCTGGTAATATATAGTTTTTCTAATATTTTTGAGAATTGTGACAGAAGTGATTTAGGTCGGTAGTTGGAGAAGTTATGCTTATCTCCACTTTTGTGAAGTGGAATGACTTTAGCTATTTTCATTTTGGTAGGAGATATGCCAGTTGTAAATGATAAGTTGCATATATAAGTAAAGGAATGGATAACTTTCTCTATTATATTTTTTATTATTATCATGTCTAAATCGTCGCAGTCAGTTGTTCTTTTATTGATGAGTTTTTTTTTACAATTTCTCTTATTTCCTCATTAGTCACTGGATTTAATAACATGCTATTTTTGTTACTTATAATTTTTTCACCTTTGTTATAATTAGTTCTTTTTGGAATGTTGTTTGCCAAGCTTGGTCCCACATTAGACAAGGATGTATTAAATTCATTGACGATTTTGTTTGGATCGTTTATTTCAGTGTCTTTATTTCTTAAATATCTACACTGGTAACCAGTAAACTATAGACTCTATTTCAAATAGCTTCTACTAGTTTATGAATCACTCAATGGCATGGGGCCAAAATACATGTTTGTCATGACTCTCATTTTCAGCCTTCATTCATCTCACCTGGTCCCCTCACCAAGCTCCAGCCAAGCCCTATTTTCCCTAGCAACTTCAGTCAGCATCACAATCAACTCCATTCATCCCACCTGTTCCTGTAATCAGCTTCATCCACTTCACCTGCTCCTGACTCCTCAGCTCATCTCACACACTTGCTTCCCCTGCTATAAAAGAACCATCCAGCTATCCAGTCTCTGCCAGATTATTGAAAACTTTGTGCTAGTAAATTCTCCAGCCATCCACCCTGCCTGATCTCTGCCTCCGGATCTCGTTTTTCTTCTGACCCCTTCCTTGTACTCTGCCTGCCATTTTGACCTTCGCCTGTCTCCGACTCTGTCTCCAGCCTCGCCCATCTGGTAACTCCACCAAAAATAAAGACGTTTTTTATATACTTTCATTGTGTTTGGCATCTTCACGGGTCTTCCTAGTTCAGCTCATGACAAATGTTAGATCTCATTGCAGGAAGCCGTGAGCTGGTGGAATCTTGAGTCAGAATCGAAAACGTTCATGTATTCATCTGCCTTTTAATGCTATTCCTTATACTGCACCTTCTGCACTGTTATTTTATTTGTGTTTTCTAAATTTGATTTTAAATTCTGCTGTTTCATGGTGTTACATTGAATTTAATGTTTTATGTTCTTATAAGAAGAAGAAAATATCATTTCTATAGCGCCTCTCAAGATAAAAATCACGAGGTGCTTCACAAAAACAAAAAAGCTAAAAATCTAAAATAATTTAGAAAATGGTTAAAAATATATTTAAAATGAGCAATAAATAGACAATTGTGATTAAAAAATGCAAAGAAAGAGAGAGTGAATAGGAAAGAGGGAAATCAGTGGATCCTGAGGAAGGTGGAATAGGTAGGGAGAGCAGAACAAGGAGAGGGTGATGAAGGTATTTTTCAAGATGGTGCCAGTGTTCTTGGCCGTCCACCCCGCTGTCTTCTTTTATTGTTTTTGGTGATATTCCTGAACTTCCTTCCCCCATAATTGCAATCATTAAGTATGATCGCTCTGCTCTTCTGGACATACGGTTGGCAATGTGCCTTTCTCCGCCTGCTGTGAAAGATTTCCGTCATACCTGCTCCCTGGACCTCCTCTCTACCTGTGTTGGATGCCGTGTCGCTTCCGTGGTCAGAAGCGTCGCCGTCGCGGCTGTCGAGTCGGGCGACTGGTGAGGCTTAAGCCTGATTCATGCTTCTCCGTCAGCTCCGCAAGTTACAGACACGCATGGACTGACAGAAGCGTTTTGCTCTCATGCTTCTCCATCTCCTGGAGAGTGTTGCAAAGCAATTGCCCGGCAGGACAACAGAGGGCGTAGCGCTGTTCTGTGGTATCCTGTCATGTACCCGGTCCAAGATAGTGTGTTCATATTGTGTTTTTTTGTATATAAGACTTTTTAACACAGACAAATTTTGTCTCTCATCCTCCTCCACCTCTTCATGCGCTCCCCACCTCTAAACCCACGTTTCCTGTCATTTCCGTCCACAAATAAAACCTCCAGTCACGGGGAATTAAACGTTCATGTTTTTTAGAGTTTTTTCGCGAGGTATTCTTCAAGCTTCTCCGTGTCTGCCGCAAGTTGTCCTCGGCTCTCTTTATGTTTTTGAGGGTGCAATGCTGGCGGTGTAGACGACAGCGGCGTCCTGACCAATCACAAGCTTGCGTTGTCCGTCTCGACTGACGGATGTTTAGAAAAGAGAGCTCAACTCCGTCCGTCCTTGCGGAGCTCTCCGGCAGGCCCGCAAGGACGCTGCGTGTCTCCGCACTGACGCAGACGGAGAAGCATGAATCAGGCTTTAGAAGTTTTCTGGCTCGCTCACCCACCTCCTTCAGGATCTCTGTTGGCTTGGGGCCCAGTCTGTGTTCCTCTTGGTGATCCCTGGATCCGGCAGTTCCATGTCTGGTCCCGTTGGAGTTGCACGGGGACCTGGCAGGCCCACAGCTCCGCTCTGTGCCAATGGCGCTGCGATGTTGGGGAATCAGCCCAGCAAACCTCCTCCTAGTGCCGACGTCATCTGCCGTCTGCTCCACAGCCCAGATTGTACATCAAGACTTGACCTCCATCAGTTTTGCTCTTATAAACGCGAGATCCATCAGGAACAAAACTTTTATACTAAGAGATCCTTTCCGTGATTGAGCGCTGGACTTTCTCTGCGTTGTGGAATCCTGGATCGCCCCAGGTGAGTCAGCTGCTCTAGCGGAGACTCTCCCCCCTGCATACACATTCATAAACTCTCCCAGACAGTGTGGCCGTGGAGGAGGCCTTTTAACAAT